CCTCGTTGTGTCTTTCTCCTTAAAATGACACTAACTTGGTGGTTACATAAGGTGTGTGTTGTTCCATGACAACCCCTTGGTTATGGAACTCTCCAAAAGAGGGTCAGGTAGTATGATATAACAGATTTAATAAAGTTTGATATTACTTTCAGTAATTTATAGGAAGCTTTCAAGCAAGACATGAATTCAACTTCATCCTCCGTCTCGCACTTTCTGGCAACTAAATATTACAGTGCAATACTGCTTCTGATACAGGAAGTAATACATAGCTATCCCAACTTACAGCTATTGGTTTAAGAGCCCTGCTGGGCAGAAGAAAGACATGAGTGCTAATACTGCTAATATTTTGTGACTTAACAATGGTTTTTTTCACATCTATTCTATAGACATGTCCAGGTCTTGACCAATATGCTATCAAGAAATTTGCTGAGGCATTTGAAGCCATTCCCCGGGCCCTGGCAGAAAATTCTGGAGTGAAGGGGAATGAACTTATTTCTAAGCTCTATGCAGTACATCAAGAAGGCAACAAAAATGTTGGCTTTGATATTGAGGTAAGACTTTGTATAATACTCCATTGTCGTGCCTTTGGAATGAACTCTGTCCAGGAAGAGAGAGATTGCAAGGAAATGGCAGGAAGCCTTGTTAACCCTCTGATAGAAAAGTAAGTCAAATATATTTTAGCAAAGCCATAGAAATAAAATAGTTATTAAAAACGATAAATTCTGACACTTTCCCATTTTAAAAAAATTATATCTTTATTCAGCTGATGACTTTAAAAAGTAGTAAGTTGACATTTCAGAGGAGAGTGAAGACCTGATTGTTTGAGCAGGCATTTGAATAGGCAGCATAACGAACATAGGAATATGGAACAAATGGACAATGAGACTGGATCTTGATTTTAACTATGATACGCTAATGAGATGTTTTATTGACTGTTTATATTGACTGTTTATTATGCTACTGTTTTTAATTGTTTTAAACTGTTTTATGATGTTTTTGAGCATTGAGTTTTGCTATTTTTAACCGCTGTGAGTTGCCCCAGGGCTGAGAAGAGCGGTATACAGATATAGCAAATAAATAATAGTAGCCATGAAATTTGTGTGTTCATGGTTTTGACAGGCTGAAGCTGCAGCTGTGAAAGATATGTTGGAAGCTGGTATATTAGACACATATCTTGGGAAATACTGGGCAATCAAGCTGGCAACAAATGCTGCGGTGACTGTGCTAAGAGTTGATCAGGTAAGTAAGTGGATGTAATGGGTTCAATAGGATTGCTACAATCCTATTGTAGCAATCATACATGCTTTTCAGAGATTAGCTATTGTTTAAGCTCTAATTTATGGTTAAGTAATACTCAGTTATTGTAGAGAATGGGTGGGGAATATGTGCCCTTCCAGGTGTCAGCTCTAGAGCCAGTGATGAAGGATGATGAGAGTGCACTTCTACATTTGGAGGGCCACATATCTCTTACCATCAGTGTAGAACTTTACTAGAATTTACTAGTAACAATCTCTATGTATTGTTATGAGCTATATACAAACAATATTCTAAATTAGGCTGGTATGGACTTTTTAAAAGATGAAACTTTTAGAATTTTGTATTTCAATATGCAATTTCTGTAGATTATTATGGCAAAGGCAGCAGGTGGTCCAAAAGCCCCTAAAGCACCAGAAAACTGGGACAAAGATGACTGGCACGAAGGCCCCTGAACAGTAGCATTTAGTAAGATTTGGCATCATGTCTTCTGTTGACAAAAACAGTGACTGCATGAGTACTTTACACTTTGCCTGGATTGGATGAGTTCTTACTTCCAAATAATCACATGTGTTGGCTACATCACCATCTAACAATCTGCCTGAGACACTAAGAGTGAAACATATGGTATTAGATCTTCATTAAAACAGCAAAAATGTTGTTCAGGATCTTAATGTGCATGATCCAGCTTAGAGTGTCACAAGAATACTAAACTAACCTTTTTAAAAACCTTTTTGGCCTAGTTGGCTGTCAGTTGTTAACATCCAAAACATCAAGTGTATTCTGAGGACATTATTTGCTTCATTTGTACCCCACCTTTCTCACATTCATGCTAATACATTTGTAGGGAGTTAAATGATATAGTTGTTGTGGCAGAAAAGTAATGGCCTTACCCCAAAGACCAAGGATTCCTCTTTAGGTTGATCGGCAAATATGTCACGGGACACTTGTGAATTGAATAAGAAGGTATTCTGAATGAGACTATTTCACATTGCATGTTTTTTTTTTTAAAAAAAAAACCCAAAATAATTTTCCTTTTAGAAGACATTCATTTTGCTTCTAAGGAGGCATGTCCTGAAACACAATTTGATTTCAGGTTCTTAACATAAAACATGCAATTACTTGCCTGTTTTGAAGCAGTAGTGCTCCCATTTCTGTTTTGCAATTGTGGTTTTTAATAAGCAGGTTTTCCATTTTATAAAACAAAGTATTAGCTGTACCATGCCATAAAAGATACAACATAAATTCCTGTAGTTGTTTCTAGTATTCACTAATAGCAAGTGCACGGAATGATAAAGGCACATACCAAATAAATAATAAAATCTAATTTTGCCAAACTTGAACTGCTTTCTATGTAACATGGAGGAAATAAATCTAATAATGACTTCTTTTTGTAGATCATCATGGCAAAACCAGCTGGTGGCCCTAAACCGCCAACAGGAAAGAAGGACTTGGATGGTGACCAAAGTGATTGAAACAATTCAGTGTACTTCTGAGAGCTGTGTATCTTGTCATGTGTGTTACTTACCTTTAAATTATGAGACTAATCTCTACTAGATGCTTGTCTTCTACCATTTCAATAAAACAGTTTCAGTAAAAGTTGTTTCCACCTGTTCTACTAGACATATTTTAGCTATTTAAAGGGTTTCAAAATATTACATAGATATTAAAAGTAACCTGCTGTATATAAAACCCATTTGACATTACTAGAACATATAAATTCACAATTCTGAGCTATTATAATATTCATTTCTATTATTTATACTCTGCATGCACATTTAAGAACCTTAGGTTGGTAGATTATGCTTCCAGTAGGTGATGTTCCCTCCCTGTTATGATCTCCTTAAAATGGAAAATAGTTAATTGCCAGTGTAAACAAAATAAGGAATTCTCATGGAAACAGAAGACATACTTGATGCAGTTTGAGCACCCCCATGAAAATAGTAAAAACTGCATGCATTCATTTTGATTTCAAAGTAGAGATTAGTAAAAAGGTAAAGGTTTCCCCTTGACATTAAGTCTAGTTGTGTCCGACTCAGGTGTGTTTGTGTGTGTGCTCATCTCCATTTCTAAGCCGAAGAGCTGGCGTTGTCCATAGACACCTCCGAGGACATGTGGCCAACATGGCTGCATCCAGCTAATTCATGTTAGCTACCCAAAGTAGAGATGGGGTATCCCTAATTCAAAATTCCAAAATCTATAATACTACACAACCTGAAATTTGGCTTCTGCCTTTAAAATGGTGGTGGGTACATATACAGTAGCGTATTCCTCCCACCCCAAATATCATCTTACCTTATATCCCCCGATCTCCAGCTTTGTTTAGTTTGTTCATTGTATTGTGTATGAGGATGGAGAGTATGCAAATCTACACCCGCCACTTCCCAGATCGTGTCTCTTCAGCTGTAGGGCCCATCTCCAAGATCTCTTTATATATTGTTCCAGACAGTCTGTATGCATATTTGCAGAAATAATTTCTGGACTGACATGTGGAAAGATCAACTTCTCCTGCCAGCAAGCACACCGTCTGCTGTCAACAGCAGATATTTTTTGCTGCTTCTTGAATTACTGGTTTCCCTCTTTTTGGAGCAAGATATTCAGAAAACCACATGGCAGTTTCCTCCTTTGACTCTGAGGATGTCGAAGAATTTGCCCCACCATGCCATTAAAAAGCAGTTGGGCGTGTTTGCTCTTTCACCTTCCTGTTGTCAGAGGAAGAGGATTTTGTTGACAGGTGAGTTTATGTTAGTAAGGCTTTAGTGTGATGGTCATTCCAGAATACAACCTTGTACAGTGTCAGGGATTAGATGCAGCCATCTAATCCCTAAAAGGTGTGAGTTTCTTGCAATTTAAAACTAGGACCTAGCAGAATTTATAAAAGTATTTTGACTCATGGTACTGTAGGGTACCCTAAGCCTTTAATATAGGCTTTCTTGCTACATACCTTTTAAGTCCATTCCAATTTGGGTCATCCAGTGAGTTTCTAAAGCTCAGGTGCAATTTGAACCTAGGATCCAGAAGTGTTAGTTCAACCTTCTATCCACTATATACCATGGGCTCTCACATGCTTTCGACTAATTACCTAAAACTAGAAGGGTTTTTAAAAGAAGGAAACATAAATTAAATGACAAAGACTAGTCGTGTCCAACTTCAGGGAGTGGTGCTTGTCTCAATTTTTAAGTTGAAGAGCTGTCTGTAGACGCTGCCAAGGTCATGTGATTGGCATGACTGCATGGAACACCGTTACCTTCCTGCCAGAGTGATACCTATTAAAGTTCTTACATTTGCATGTTTTTGAAGTGCTAGGTTGGCAGAAGCTGGGCCTAAAAGCAGGAAATCCACCCCACTCGGATTTGACCTGCCCACCTTTCAGTCAGCAAGTTCAGCAGCTCAGTGGTTTAACCTGCTGCGCCACTATGTGACACAATTTGACAGAAAAAAAAAATCTGTTCCTGGTTTGAAAATCATTTCTTGTTTAACTGTGCAGTACTTACTTTGAAAGTAGTAGTTCAACTCCAGAAACTGTTTTTGTGGCTGCCACAAACCGTTGGTTAAGACTATGAGATATTCATTGTAAAAACTAGCAAAATGTGCTGCAGGATGTCTCGCAAAAACTTTGTTTTTGCAGTTCAATTAACTTTTCACATCTTTTCATGATAGAACCAATTAGGAAATGACATTTATAACCCAGAAACAAAAATGTGTTGCACAGTATTATATCGAGAATTCATATTACCTACCATGAGTGAGTTTTAAAGATGCATTTTTTATTTAAAACAAAAAAATATATGTTCAAAATACACATTACAGTAGGTTGGATGTAATCAATATATATATATATTTTGAAACCCAACTTCTCTTGAGTTCTGATCAATCCGCTGTAGAATAGGATTCCTTGGGTAATTTATAGTAGTCGCTCATAGAACAGGAGATATGCTTGTGCATTCAGCACTTTGGATACAGGAACTGCTTGTACTCGGGTGTCACTAATATGATACCATTGTCCTTTGGATGATTCAGTCTCTGCATCTGCTGAATGGGGGAAAGGTGAGTAATTTTACTGTTATTACATTCTGGCCATTAGTCAGTAAATTAGTTTTACATTATAAGCCACCCTGAGTCCCTTTCGGGGTGAGAAGGGAAATACAGTAAATAAATAAATAAAGTTCCACTTACTATGTTGAATCTTGCCATGCAGGACGAGATCAGAAAGTTGGTTGGTAGTAGCTCTTGTCTTCACATAGGCAGTGTAGTGGCCAGATCTCATTGTACCACTGTGTTCAACAATTCCATATAAAGAATACAGGACTCTTGAACTCCCTTCTGCAACATTCTGTAAAAACAGTAAACCCCAAGAGCATTTCAAGCACCTTGATTTAATTTTTGTTTTATTAGCCAAAAAATTAACATTGTACAGTTTCTCTCCATATATACACAATCATTTTCTGCTGTCACTCGATTTAGACTAAAAAGTATCATTAGCAGTGTTTTTTGTAGAAGAGTTTAAAAATATTAGGGTCCCTAGTTTTTGCTTAAAATATTGCAAATAAACTGCATCAAGGCAAAACTTCATTCAATACATCAAATAATCCATTGGGTTGCTGTGAGTTTTCTGAGCAGTATAGCCATGTTCCAGAAGCATTCTCTCCTGATGTTTCGTCCTCATCTATGGCAGGCATTCTAAGAGGTTGTGAGGTCTGTTGGAAACTAGGCATGTGAGGTTTATATATCTGTGGAATGTCCAGGGTGGGAAAAAGAACTCTTGTCTGCTTGAGGCAAGTCTGAATGTTGCAATGGCCAGCTTGATCATTTATTTATTTATTTATTTATTTATTTATTTATTTATTTATTTATTTATTTATGTGTGTATGTATTTGCGACATTTATATGCTGTCCTTCTCACCTTACAAGATATATATACATACAATATATTATATTATTAGCATAGTACAATATCAGTATTAAATATTACTATATTGTACTATACCATTATATTGTAATATTATTAGTAATATTACATGTGATATAAATATATAATTATAATATATTATTATTAGTATTATTATATTGCATTACATTATAATATTATAAATATTATATGTATATACAATATATTACATTATATTATTAGCATTTAATGGCCTGAATAATTCATTGTTTGTAAACTGTGACACTGAATTTCCTGAGATTTGAAAATAGTGCAACCAAGGATGCCATTATAACGGCTTTTTAATCTCCCTATAATGCTTAGAACAAGTGAAAAGAAAACATGATACAGAAATGCTTGCAAGGCCTGAAGAGTACCATACATTGGGAGAAATAACAACTTTTCTATTCCGCCACCATCTCCCCAAAGGGACATGGGGACCAAGCCCAACAAAAACAATAAAATATAGCAAAAATAAAATACATTGCATTTCAATAATTAAAACAATAAATCCAAACAGAGAAATTGAAGTAGATACCAAAAGGAAGAAAGAAGTATGAAGGGAGGGCTATGACAAAACCTCATCTGGATGAGTGGGAGCGCAGAGCAAAAAACGCCAGAACCTCCACAAACACCACTTACAGCCAATATTATGGTCCCAAGGGAAGTCACCAGATCTATAAAGACATTAACTGACACAAAGCCCACAATCAAACACCAGCTCCATGATTTGTGTGTGCACACTATGTTTACAATTTATACTTCTAACACCTTCTTTTAAAAAGCCCTTCTATTGACAAAAAGTGGGTTATTGAAAAATAAAGGAAATCAAATGAACTTTTTTCTTCCTTACCTTACACTTAATAGAGCAAAAAGGAGCCAAATCTATGACTTCGGGAAATTTTATGTGTTTGTTCACTTTTTGGAGATTATATCCAGTCTAGGAGAGAACCACAGAAAGAAAGATACAAATAAAATGCATACAATGACAGAATGATCAGGAATAAATTTGAAATATTTCTTCTACAATTCAAATATAAATGTAATAGGTCAGTACAGCCCCATTTGTGACATTTTGCTAAATAAATGTTAACCAATACTGCCTACCATGAAGGCACTGCACTACAATTCTATCAGGGAGTAGACAGTAAGTGATGTGAATGAAACAGCAGCCATCTTGCCACAGCCTAACCTGTTCTACACACACTTCCTGCTTTGCGAGTTTGCTGCCCCTGAGCAGAAATGGGATCATCTCAAGTATTTAATTAAGTTTCAGGCCTGCCAGGCCTGTTATTCTCTGTATGTGGGGTGGGGTAAAGGTTTTGGCATGATCATCAAGTTTGCAGACGACACCAAATTGGGAGGGATAGCCAATAGTCCAGAGGACAGGAGCAGAATTCAAAACGATCTTGACAGATTAGAGAGATGGGCCAAAACTAACAAAATGAAGTTCAACAGTGACAAATGCAAGATACTCCACTTTGGCAGAAAAAATGAAATGCAAAGATACAGAATGGGGGATGCCTGGCTCGAGAACAGTACGTGTGAAAAAGATCTTGGAGTCCTCGTGGACAACAAGTTAAACATGAGCCAACAATGTGATGTGGCGGCAAAAAAAGCCAATGGGATTTTGGCCTGCATCAATAGGAGCATAGTGTCTAGATCTAAGGAAGTAATGCTACCCCTCTATTCTGCTTTGGTTAGACCACATCTGGAATATTGTGTCTAATTCTGGGCACCACAATTCAAGAGAGATATTGACAAGCTGGAATGTGTCCAGAGGAGGGCGACTAAAATGATCAAGGGTCTGGAGAACAAGCCCTATGAGGAGCGGCTTAGGGAACTGGGCATGTTTAGCCTGAAGAAGAGAAGGCTGAGAGGAGATATTATAGCCATGTATAAATATGTGAGAGGAAGCCACAGGGAGGAGGGAGCAAGCTTGTTTTCTGCTTCCTTGGAGACTAGGACGTGGAACAATGGCTTCAAACTACAAGAGAGGAGATTCCATCTGAACATTAGGAAGAACTTCCTGACTGAGAGCCGTTCAGCAGTGGAACTCTCTGCCCCGGAGTGTGGTGGAGGCTCCTTCTTTGGAAGCTTTTAAGCAGAGGCTGGATGGCCATTTGTCAGTGGTGATTTGAATGCAATATTCCTGCTTCTTGGCAGGGGGTTGGACTGGATGGCCCATGAGGTCTCTTCCAACTCTTTGATTCTATGATTCTATGATTTTACCCAAACATTAGAATAGCAACAATAGTAATAGCAGTAGCAGTAATATGAGGTTAACAATACCTGTTGAAATCTTTTTAAATGAAGAGTTAAAATTGGAGGAGCAAGAGAAATCAGCATTTGTTTTTTGGCATTAGTGTATACAGGTTTCTTGACATCTGGAAAAAAGAAAAAAAACTGTTGACACAATTGTTCAAATGATTTCTATACTATTTCTTATACCTATTGCTATGCTCATGACACAAAAATGGAAGATTGCTGTCTGTTACTAGACTTGAATTGTTCTTAGAAGGGGACAATTTGGCTTACTTTTTCCAGTAGTCTTTGGTCCACAAAGTTGCTTATGTGTGCATACGTCACAGAGAAGCTTATTGTTCTCACAAAGTTTCTCATTATGGGTGAATTGATATAAACAATGAAGGACTGAACTTTCTTCAGTATTCATTTCTTCCCTGTTCGCAAGAGTGCAAAATGCTGTTTCTGGGTCTTCATTCACTACTTGGTACAATTTTGTTTCTGAATTATGAAGTTCACTGAAGCTATCAGTATCATCTTCAGGTTCTTCATCCAAGGACAGTTTGTGAAAGCCATTGGCAGTACAATCCTCATCCTCATCTTCATTCTCATCTTCATCCTCATCCACTGGCAGTGTACTATCTTCTTTGAGAGACAAATGGTCAAATTTATTGACACACTCTACAACAGAAACGAAGTCTTTTGAGGGAATGTCCATACCGACTTCGTTATTTGCCAGTTGGCCAGAATCCTCTGCATTTACATTATTATTATTATGGGTGTTAGTTATATCATGCCCATTTATATTGCCTCTTTGATCCACACAAGACTGTTCACATGAATTCAATGACTTTTCCTCTTGCTTCAGAGAAGCCACCTCAGAGTTATTCCCAGCATTTTCTATTCCATTGCTACTAATATGGTCAGCTTCATTTTTTTCAACGGCACAGTTTTCTGTTAGTGGAATCACCTTTTCCTGAAATTTTTGCTGACGACGATGGTTCTGTGAAGTGAAATACACCACACATTAAGAAAGGATACATAAGGAATTTTCAAATGAGCTTGTGCCAGATAGCCACACATAAAAGGTAAAGGTTTCCCCTTTACATTAAGTCTAGTCATGTCCAACTCTGGGGGGTGGTGTTCATCTTCATTTCTATGTGAAAGAGCTGGCGTTGTCCATAGACACCTCCAAGGTCATGTGGCCAGAATGGCTGCATGGCGAGCCATTACCTTCCCGCTGACGTGGTACCTATTGATCTACTCACATGTGCATGTTTTCAAACTGCTAGGTTGGCATAAGCTGGGGCTAACAGCAGGAGCTTACGCCACTCCCCAGATTCAAACCGCGGACCTTTCAGTCAGCAAGTTCAGGAGCTCAGAGGTTTACCCCGCTGCGCCACCAGGGGCTTATAAAAGACACGGCTTTTTACACCATATAGTTGTTAAAAACAAAGCATATTAATTTAATAGTGTAGAAAGAAACAGCCTTACTACTTATACAAGTGGTATGACTACATCCAAGTCAAACCAGGATTGGCTGTTACTGTGATTAACTCATGGTTAGCCTTGAGTTTGCACTCTCCCCATTCCCAAAATACTGGAATCTATTGTTTCTTAAAACGGTTTTAAAAAATACTGTGCCACTAAATATTTTATTTTTAATGATTTAATAGTTTTAATTATTTTTAATACTCCAATTTTTAATTGCATTTCAATGAAGGGGGGGGGGGGGTAATTTATAGCTCATTTATACAATTCTAAACCAGTAGTGGAACAATGTGTAACACCATGAATCTTGTTTTGTGACCTCTGCTGTACCATACAATCAAAAAAAGAAATAAAGTTCGGTCTTTTTCCTTCCAACAGCCTTTGAAAATGCCCAAGGGATATTTGTGAGCAAATATATACATATATATGTGTGTGTGTTTTGCAATGGGGGTATAGCAGGGAGATACAGTGCTTCAAAGTCTCCAGGAGAGATAAAGCTATGTAGCCTCTGACTGATACCCACCCCTTTTTTTATACATTTTTGCTCATGTCATTACTAACCTTTGCTTGCTTTTTGGCCATTTTCTTTGCCTTTTTCTGAAGATGCTTACTTGCCCCAGGAGTCTCTTCCCGATCCTTCAAATAAGAGTCATTTTCAATGTTGTCGGCATCATCTTCCATCTCATTTTCCTGTAACTTTTTAACTCTTTTCTCAACCGTTTTTTTCTTAGCACCCTTAGAAAGAAAGAAAAACTTGAGCAGTTTAGACAGGTATGGGTGGTGATAATAAGACATACCTAATGAAAGTAAAAGGAAAATGACACCCTCTTTCCCCCTCAAAAAGAGAAAATGTTGTCGTTTACAATCACTTACCTGGAAATGGAATGTGGACTGAGTTTTCTTAGCTTTGATACAAGTCCTGATATAATTTCTTTTCACAATTTCACAAAAACTGTATTTTTATGAAACGATCTATTATATTAAACCAATGAAATCCCACTGTTACACTATCTGTAATTGGTTCACGCTATTGTCTTTGACCCTCATATATTGTGGACTTGGGAGCAGGCACCCTAAATGTGTGAAGAATAACCAGTGTATCTGTTTCGTACATTTCTCACTTTTAGTTTTTTACATATATTAATCCTACCTTCATCCTGATATAGGGACTGAAAGAGGCTACTTTTGCTTCAGAACTCCTTTCTTTTACTTCCCTTGAAACGTTTCATCTTCCACAAGTCATTTCTTTTGGCTGGAGAAATTTTCACATGCGAAGAAATTATAGATGTCTTTATACCCTTAATCATAACATACTAACAAATTCTATCTTCTTTGCACTCTTCTTCCTCTACTTTTGTTGATTTTAGAATCTTAGCAACATAACCCAGATGTACAAGATAAAAACAAAGCACATACTTTTATGCTTACCTGATCATTTAAAACTGGGAGTGAAAGATCAAGGAATGACTCATGCACTAATGAAACCTGAAATAAAGATTTAGCCCATTATTAGAGTCAACAGAATATAAGGGATTTTATACATTGGAGTCAGACTACATAAGCTTAGATGTACTGCAAAACCATCTGAATTGGCAGCTCCTGGTGAAAAAAAGCCCCAAACTCTAATGTCTTTGGAAGAGCTAAAATTAAGCATTTAAGAATAATTCACTTTATATGAGAAAAGTAGTTAAGCAAAATACCAGTAGTGACTGGTCTGTTTTGGGTCTTCTAGCTGAACGTTAAAAAAACCCAGAAACTATTAAAAATAAATTATTTCCCAATATCTCTCTATCAAAAAGCAATCATTTTATTCCATTGTACACAGATTTCTTAAGAGCAGGACAATCTGCTTTGTAAATTGAGAGCACATTCAGATCTTCTTCTTCTTCTTCTTTTTGTTTTTACGTTTCTTGGTGAATTTACAGTCTTTATTAATTCCCCATTTCCAAACTAGAAATTTGAGTAAAGACTCTATGCTTACAATACAACCCATAGTGAGGAATGCTGAAAACCTAAATTCATAGAACCATTGAACTGGAAGAGACCTCGTGGGCCATCCAGTCCAACCCCCTGCCAAGAAGCAGGAATATCGCATTCAAAGCACCCCATACAGATGACCATCCAGCCTGTTTAAAAGCCTCCAAAGAAGGATTCCCTGCCACACTTCAGCAACTTTCCTAGGGTTGCACAATTTGCACTCCTATTTTGGACTGTAACAAAAGAGACACTTACAGTTTGGCACTCCTCACACATAATTGTGCTTGTCAGTTCGCCTCCAAAAATACGATCCACAAAGGTCTGTGTTATCTTCCTCTTTTCATATTCTGAAATGTCAGATAATATATTAATAAAGCAACCAATCCTTTTACTCTTAAAATATGCAGTTGTTTTATTATAATGCTGAAGTAGTTATATCCCCATGTCATACTAAATTCTGATTACATTTTGTTTTAGTTGTGAATTGACCTGTAAATAGGCAAGTAAATGACAATTTATTTTCCCGTTTCTATCTTGTTTTTTCTCTATTTTGTCAGTGTCTGTTTCAGGGAAATAATTGGGAAAACAACTCTGGTACAGGGTGAGGCAGCATAACTTCCTTTTTTAAAATGTGTGCCATTCAGTCGGTTGAAGACGTAACGGAGTGCTAGTGGTCTCATTTGAGAGGCGGGAGTATAAAGTTTGTCCTGACACAGTTCAGTCACCATCATGCGTTGGAACAGTGAGGAGCGTGCTTTTGCCGTTGAGGCCTACTTTTCGAGCAGATTTGGAGTGGCCGGCCCGCTCTCCAGATTTGGCCCCTTGTGATTTTTTTCTATGGGGTTTTTTGAAATCCTGTGTTTATGTGAACCGTCCAAGGGCCCTACAAGATTTGAAGACCAACATCCAGGGAGAAATTGCCAACATAATGCCTGCTATACTGGCAAAAGTCATGAGAAACGCCAGAAATTGGTTTACTCAGTGTATGGAGAATGGAGAATGGGGGACGTCACGTACCTAATTTGATCTTCAAAACTATGTAAAACAAAACTTTAGGTATGCGCCTACATTATATTAAAATAAATAAATAAAATTCTGATTCATACAATGGGTTTTATTAAGTTTTGAAAAAAGGAAGTTATGCTGCCTCCTCTGTACAAACCACAGCCAAGACAAATCATTTTTTTTAAATGGAGGGTGAGAGTAACTGTGGCTCTAAATATTGATTCACTTCAAGTCCTACAATCCCTAACATTGGCTATATTGCCTAGAACTGATTCAAGCTGAAGTCCAGCAATATGTGGCCCAATTCTAGTTTACAAACTGGAGTTCATATGCTAACAATAAGCCATGGGTTATACTGTTGCATGTGACTGGGTAATTAGTTTGCAGGTATGAGTTCAGATACAAGTCAAAATTCAACAAATCACATGGTTGTTACATGTGAGCCTAATTACCAAATTAGAAAAGAGGTAGCACACTCTTTAGTAAGAGAACAGAATGAAGACACTATATAGCTCCTTTTTTCAAAAGATGTGATTAATGGAGCTCCCAAATAGACTCAAAGAGACATGGTGAACATTTTTAGCAACACATGGATAGAAACAGTTACCTTTGATCTTCTTTTTAAGCTCTTCATTCTCTTTGTCAGCTGAATTATTCAGTGCCTTAAAGATTCCAACACAGATCCGCTAGAGAATAGAATTATGTTTTGCAAAAGTAAGAAGCCATGCATTTTTGTTCATAACCGTAAAACAAAGGATTTTATCAATGAATACATTGTTCCTAGAGCAATGTTCCCTACCATCTGAAAGAACTGTATCTTCAATTCAACAGAATCTTCCACTGACTCAAAGGAGTGTTTTTTTTACAATTTCAATGGCCACTGAAGCCCAGAATCACTTCCCTGCAGATTCAATGAGTTTCTCAATCCTCCCAAGCAGAGGATGAAGGAGGTTAGGGAAAAGAACTGAGAATGACATCCTTCCCTATTCCAGATGGATGCCTATGATGGGGAGAAAACCTGCTAATTGAACCCCATGTATACAAACTTGGTCCAATGCATCTCACGTGTGTGTGTGTGTGTGTGTGTGTGTGTGTGTGTGTGTGTGAGAGAGAGAGAGAGAGAGAGAGAGAGAGAGAGAGACTTAAAATGACTGTACTTGTGTTCCACTGAAATTAAGGGTAATAACATTAGTTGTGGCCACATTCTTGTATCTGTAAAAAAACGAACAAATCCAGTTTGTTATGGAACAGTTGCCTTTTGAAATCCTTTAAGATGATACAATGTTCCTATTTTGTTAGAGAACACTTGCCATTTGAAATGTGAAAGGAACAGCACATCTTTAACAATCTAATTTGACAGCTCATAATTGTGAGAAAAATCCTCATTTCTGAATTTAAAGCTCTATCTTTACTGTATTTCAGATGCTGTGACAATGTTGTATGCAACATGTTGAAGTTCAATAAAATTGTTAAACAGGAATAATACCCCAATTCTAAATTGGTTAATTATTCAGAAGCATGCATTTACTTTCTAGTAGGAGAATTTAGGACTGCACCCTAATTTGCCTCCACTGCTTCTATGAGAACTCGCAACTACATTTTGTAGCATTAACTTCTCAATGAACTTACTCTCCCCAAACTGATACTTGAGAAAAGAGGACATGAAATTTCAGCAGCCACCATACCAATCCTGATCAGATACCTACTTGAACCTCTTCTGTCCGCATTCCATCTAGTAAGTAACGAAGCAGCTCCTGACTGTCCTGTTGCTGATACCCTTTAAACCGTATGGCTCTGTGTATGAAAGAAAAAGAAATTGTCACAGCTTAAAGTGTGCAGAATACATAATTAGTTGAGGAAGAGGGCAATATAGCTTGAGAATGAGGAACGAATTCTGACATCACTTTGAAATGTCCAGGTTTATGTTTTATGTTATGGTCCCAAGAAATTACAAACAACATTGTAAACATACTTCCTTGAGTCACCTACGGGCTGAGAAAGGCGGTATACAAATACAGTAAATAAATAAATAAATAAATATTGAAGGTGCTTGTTTTATTGTATAGTCCCCATAATATTTTGGTATGTAATGCAAAAGAACAGGAGGTGGTTTCTTCTAGAGTTTTACAGCATTACTGTATGTAAATTTGTTTTAAAATGCCACATACTCCTGGTTAAGTTTGTACAGGATCTCAGGCTTCAAATCATCTGATGCCTGAACTGTCAGAGGGCCAGATCCAGTAGTGGACTTCTCCTAGCAGAGAAGTGACATCCACTGATACTAAGTGAATGTCAGTCCCTGCTTTTCACTGCACCTCTTGTGAACCCACAGATACAGTTCTGGAAGGTTGGAGTGAGTTTGGGAATAATAATAATAATAATATAACTTTATTTTTGTACCCCACATTCATCTCCCCGAAGTGATTCGGGATGGCTTACATATGACACAAAGTGCCTAAAATAATGCATAAAATTAACACACGGTGCAATACAAAAAAATTAAAAATAAAACCAATAGCATATAAAACAACGATTTCAAACTCAGAACAAATGCCCAGTAACCTATGGTCACAACTGCCATAAAACATGGCTAAACTGTAAACAATACAAGGGAAGGAGATAGTGCAAATTGTAGCTAAGGAACAAGGGGGGGGGGGGGGGAAGGAAAGTGCAGTGCTATGTCATTAACTGCGGACCAAAGTAAAGAGCACATCTAGTGAAAAGGACGAAAAGTTTAAAGATTCAATGCAATTTTGGATTTAGTCCCACTGTTGTTCATAAAAGAATAGCAATTAAATAAGCTTTTTAATGATAAGATCAATTATAATTCAGCATAAAGCAATCAAAACATATACTAAGCCAGTTTTGCAATACTATAGGAAGATGCTTTACAGGGAAGATACTCACTTTTTACAGACCTGGGAGAAGAGCTCTTTAGGAGTCACAGTTCCCTTTTTTGTCTCTTGCATGTCTGTCAGAAAATCGCACATTGCTAAAGTAAGAGGTCTTGGTTGATCAAGTGTAATTACCACAGGTTCCTTAACAACACACAAAGAAAGTCACATTAAATATTTTAACAATCTGAACAGGGACAAAGATAACTTCACTATCCTAAGCAAAGTCATTTTGTTAATTTGTATAATTGAAGAGTTGCATCTATTGTAGTGTTCACTAGAAAATACATTATCCCAGAAGAAATTCTGTTTCCTCTCTACAGCACAGACCACTTCAGCTCTACCAAAAGTTAGGCAGCTATGACGAAACACTAAGAGTCCAGGAAGAGGGATAGTAGCAGGAGGACTGAACTGAGAACGAAATACAGTGGGAATTTGCCAGTCTGGCTCAGAAAGGAATATCAATAGTGCTAGAGGGGGAATGTGTGTCTCATAAGGAAATCAAGCTCCAGAAAGCCTTTCATGATCAAATTAAGATCAAAATGCTCAGAGGGGAAGTTCAAGCTCCTGGCCTCCTTGTCTTCATTTCCTTCCCTCATATCGAAAAGGTACCATGATTTGTCTGAACCCAGCCATTACATGAGAATATGATTAATTAAAAATAGATACAAAAGATTTCCGATCTCCTTGTGGCCACATCAGAAAATGAGAGAACTCCTCAGCCTTATGTGCGGTCTTCATGCAATCCTAAAACAGGACCATGGTGTTATTGCTCTGCCCACTTCTAAATCTAGAGACCCATCAAAGAGTCTGCAAAGTTATAATCTGAACTTGAAAGGAAAAGTACTTAAATCCACATTGTAATCATTTTAATGCATCCCAAAATAGAAGTGTACATACTGTTATTGAAAATTCTGGAGGCTCAATTGTAATGATATAGTCAGCCATTTTAACCTCTTTCAAGAGTTCTCTTAGAACTGGGGTCTGTGACAGGTTCTGTAGGGGAAAATGAGCCAATATTATTCAGTTATGTTTTTGTGAAAACAGCACAATGCCACTAAATTTTCAAAATCTCCCAATCCCACTGCGCCTCCAGTTTTCCCGAAGAGATGCTGCAACCAAGAAGAGTGACTTGGAAAGTCAGAAAAAGACTGCAGCAGCTTGTTTATCTATTGATCCAATCCAAGTTGGATTCATTTCCATCACACACAACTAGTGATAAAAAAAAGTTTCAACTGCCCATCTCAACAGAATCTGACAAATCAGGATTCGATTAGAGATTTGGCTGCAACATTGAAATTGAGCTAATAGAAAGTCACTGGTGATTATATGCATTTAATGATTTTATATGGTTTTTATATGACTATTGTGGCATCAAATTGTTGCCAGTTGTAAGTCGCCTTGAGTCACCTTCGGGCTGAGAAAGGCAGAATAGAAATACCGTAAATGAATAAATAATAAACATAGAACTCGCTACTTCCTGCCAAATATATCCCAACTCTTGAAGGAAACAACATATGTACCACTTTTATGAATGAACATAAAACTCCAAAAATACATAAATGTGTTTAATGTACTTAGAAGCAAGTTTATATACCCTTTAAAAACAGCAATTTAGTCAGAAAACAACTAAAATGCAACTGCAGTTCCAATCACTTTTCAGTACAAACCCAGAAAATAGATGGCAATCTCAGCTATTTGCACCTTACCTGCAAAACGGCGTTATAGAAACAGGTGTTTCCAAGATTGCTGAGACCCTTTACTGTCACTTCTGCATGGCCATTTAAATGAATCTTATCCTCTTTGAGCAAAAGCTCCTTTTTCTCCTTCTCTTCCTCATTTTTGTGATCTTTTACTTTTTTGTTTTCTACTGGTTTGGTTTCTTCATCTTTAGACACCGAAATGGCAGAGTCTACTTTGAATTTTAAAAGAAAACAGTCAAGATATGATAAAAGCACATTGGCAATCCAATCACGACATCTAGCAATTACAAATACCTCTTAAGACAGGAATGGTATTATGAAACAAAGCTTGAGTCCTGAGTTTTGGCAGTAGCCAGGAGTGCATTTGCACAATTAAAACTAATGTATCAATAATACCTGTGGCTACAGTGACACATGTCTTAGTTACATCTCACTTGGACTATGTTCTTTGTGAGGCTACCTCTGAAAAGTGCTTGGAGACCTCTACTGGCCCAAAGAGATGGAGTTAGATTGTTAACTGGGATTGTCTACATCTTTCCTTGTTGGAACAGCTCCACTGACAACTGTCTGTTTCTAGGCACAATTCAACTAGCTCTGTAAGTTATCTGAAGTGTTCCCACTGTTCTGGTTTGCTCAGGTTAATTACTAATGAAAATGAACATACAATATAAGAGTCCATGTTCTCTTTAATACCTTTTTCTCATCCTGTAGGCCCTACTCATGTATATGGCCTATGGATGAAATTTGGCATTTCTGATTAGTTTGGAAGTTAACCGTTAGAATTTATATAGAAATGCAGTAATGCAATTATTTAAAGCTATAAGCACACTCACTGACTCCTCAAAAGGGAGTCAGTAGTTAAAACACACTATGAGTAGATTCTGTGAGGATTTGAAAAGAGATGCCATGATGCAATGGGTTTGCCTGGAAAGACATGTGTCGGCAGCTGACTGGCTGAGCATGCCAGGGGCCAGAGTTTTGATTGGCTGCTGTCTCTGGCTTCCTGCTGAGACTAACGGTTTTAACTGCCACTTTCACTTTGGACAGCGAAGAGAGTGCTGGCTGCCAACTATCTGAAGCCCGATCACTTTTAAGGTATGAGGCTGGTTTTAAAGACTGTTTAAAAGGACTGTTTTATTCCCTCTGTTATCTGTGTCAATTCAGAGAGACAGCTGTATATATTGTTGCCCTGTTTGAACTTTTGAACTGAAGCAAATATACTTCAGTTCAAAAGTTCAAATAAAGTACCTGAGTGACACTTTATTATACTGCAGGGTATATCTTGGTTTAAAAAACTGTGGTAATGCTTCTGTTTATTTACATTTATCAACCCCTCACAGATTCAAGTCTCTTGTCCTAGGAACTTACCTTTATTTTGCATGCTTGTACAAGCTTGCTTTCTAACATAATCTACAAGTTGGCCCAGCCGACTGGAACTACTGTACTGGACCTCGTTATCACACAAGTAGCACCTATTTCAACCAAAAAAAATATCACAAAAGATAATTGTTGTTAAGATAAAACCAAAGTGGTATGATACTATGGCATGGAATATATTTAAAATAAATACAATATACATAACTAACTGTGATATGATTTTTAATGAAACTTTCTTTCAGGGAGAATATTATATTGGTAGTGGGCACTTTAGTTTTAACTTTTGCATATTTACAATGGTTTTATATTATTTAATGTATGCTTTTTTAAAATTGTGATATTTTAGTTATGTTTCAGTTCTTTCCCTACATTTTAAGCTAATTTTCTTGCATGGTTTGTGAACCAATTTGAGTCTCACACCAAAGGAAGAAAAAAAAAAGAAAAAAGAAAAGAAAAGAAATAGATTTTATGTTGGTGTGCAACTGAACACTGAGCCATTTCCAGGTTCCGTTCAGGTTTTCAGAGTAACGTGATTGATGTCCAGGGGATAAAGCTATGAATAAATGATAGCTATTACATGCCTTTTCTGGTAGAGTAACAGTGATGGACAGTAGGCATTCCTTATTAAACTGTGTTTTTTGAAAGGCGCCTACCCTACACCTGATCTATTTTTAAGGTTCAATAATTAGAACTATATTGGGTAGTTAATTTTATTTCGAAGTCCAGAATATGCAAGAACGGGCTTCCTTATTGTGCTGGTGATATCCACAGCACCTCCCCAAAAGCAGTCAATGCAACACAGAGAAAATTAATGACTTTCAAGTCCTAGTCCAATAACTCAAACCAATGTGTGCAGCAAAATATACATTTATATTCATACCAGTAGAGATTGAGCACATGTAACTAAATTCTATTGTGCTGAGAGTAACTGTAGAATCATTAATGACACAATAGCCTTTCCAAAAGCTTTTATAGTGCTTGGGACATTGAAAACAAACTCCATATGTAATCTATGTATACGGAAACAGTAATTCAAGTATACTGTACAAATGATTACAGAAAACATCTAACGGCCTTGTAGCACATGTCCATACAAAGATTTATTTCTGTGATCCACCATGGATACAAAACTGTACACTATCACACCCATATAGTATTCAATGGTGAATGTGCACACTCAGAATATTCAATAAATCAGTTGCTGAGGCCTGTAATACTTATACCTCATACTATAAAAATGAGAACTCACCATACACTCCAGTTATCCACATTAAGAACTAAACAGTGAGGTTCTGATCTTGGGGTTTCATAATGCTTTAAAGCATGTTTTTCTTGAGAATTTCTGCCACAGCCCTGTAACATTAACAACAGAAATATGAAGCACACACACCTCAGTTCTACTCCTCACTCAGCAATTGAATCAATGTGCAATGTCTACTGCAATTGAGACAACCACAATTTAGGCCACAGTCAATCACTATGCCATTTGTGAGGTTGCTAATTAGAACAAAATTTGCTTTCTCTGCTCATAGTAACCCTAAGTTAGGCAGTACATACTTTTGAAGTCTAGCAGGAAAATTAATTATCATTCAGCAGTAAGAAAGACAGTCTGATGTGATAAAGAGCAAAAAGATCTCTACATGGCACCCAATCTGAAGGCCCTTAAATGTACATGTTTGATCTCTTAAACATCTAACAGAAAAGACAGTTGATATTATAACTAAAACACTTGTGCTCATCAAATGTAATACTAAGCATTAATCACAATTAGGAAAAGATACTTTTTTTATTGCAAGTACCAGAATTCCCAATGATTATCTTTGGTTGTGGCCTGAAAATGTAGCATGTCCAAGATTTTGTGTACTATTTAAAATCTTAACATGTTTTATTATAGGGGAAAAGGTATACCCTGTGGCCGCATTTCAAACATAACCATATTGATGGTCTGTCTTCTGCTTCGTCTTCAGACTTCTCTGATGTACCATTGTCAGATATGCGGCAATCCTGGCATGAGCCCCAGTCTACATTCTGCAAGACTTTTTTCAGGTGGCCTTGATCCAAGCCTTTGCGGAGGTGTTTGCACATAGGTTCTGTCAAGAGGTTAAAACAAGGTGAGACTCACAACTACAGAGAGTGAAGGTACATTATTTACAATCCATGGAGTACAGACCAGGATGGTGTTATCTGATCCAAGGTGGTGTTATCTGATCAGTTATAAAACTTTCTGAGTAACCTTGGGCGAATGACTCTTTTCTTGATCTAAGCTACCTTGTAGGACTTTAGTGGGAACAAGATGGAACAAATATGTACCGTAGTGACCTACATGGAGGAAAGATGAGATTGCTGTGATAATTAATAACTTGCAGGTACAAGCAAAGTTGCTAATACTGTCCTACAAATGGCCCCACAAAAAACATGTTTGATTTTAATATCACAAATGAAAAATCTTGGTTGCTTCATATACTCTGGACTGCAGCTCTCATATTTCAACTACTAGCAATGATGGCAATGGGAGTTGGGAGTCCTATATAATCTGAAGGGCCATGTTATGGCTATCTCAGCAGTCAATAATATGTAGCAAATATGTAACTATTTGCTTGTTTTGATGCTTAAAGCCCACTGTAGGTTTTTTTTTTGTAAAAAAAGGCATTTATATTTTTTAAAATGCGCATAAGAAAACAAATACAATGACCTCTTGTTTCTTATTTCCATCCTAAGCCCGCATTAATTTATGCACAACACAGACATGGATGCTTCATAAATAATTATATAAATGTTTTTCTTCATTTAGTAATTTTTATAGTCTTTAGGCTAGAAGTAACTTTCAGTAATCTCACATTTTACTTCCAAATAGGCTTACTCTCAAGTAAACATGAATAGGACTGCACTCTCAGGGCTATATCAATGGCATCACTCTACTAGCACATGGCATTTGCCACTTGTGTATACCCCATTTTTATGTGCAAGCATCAAAAATTTGAAAGTAACAATCCAAATAATCTTTTTCGTTATTTCATCCTCACCAGCTGACAGTTAAAATAGTAACATCAAAGATGATCACACCTTACATGAATTGGGAGATTTGTGTTTACTGGTATATGATGCTGTTATATACAAGTCAGAGTATAACTATTTATTTGGGAACATAATTGCAATAGGGATGACTCCTTAACAATGGCGTTAAAAATCCTGCCAAGTATTAATAAAACACTTCCAATAGGAGCTATACAACTGACTGACATGGTTTGCACTTACAAGGCATACCTGATATGTCCGTTAAGTCATCTGACTGTACATTTTTCCCCTTTGTTCGTTTCTTTCCCATGTTGGAGACTCAAAGTTGTATTCCACATCAAACAATGTTGACCTGGACAGGGAGGAAGGAAGGGGGAGGATCACTCTTAACTTTCAAAGAAACCTCAAAACCTAAGAGCAGCTGCTTTTAGCACACACTAAGACATAGCACTACTGTGACAATATATTTTTTTCAAGGTTTCGAGATCCCAACCACAATGAAATGCCATGGAACAAGTTTTAATAGAAAGTAGGAATGAAATCTTTTGCCAATCATTTTTTCCTTCTTTCTCTATATTTTAGACATCTAGAGAAGAAGGATCAAAGTATCATGAAGTCTGACCTCTGGCTGAAAATTTATAGAAAGACCCTACATAAGCCAGCGTATAACTCAGGCATGGGCAAACTTCATCCCTCCAGGTGGTTTGGACTTCAACTCACACAATTCCTAAAAGCCAAAGTTTTCCCATGCCTGGTATAACCATTTATTTAGCAGCAAAATGTACAATAAGAACATATTAGAAGCAGAAAAGTCAACGACAGCACTCATACCATCTAGCTGTTGATAGTACTGGACTTTGAATACAAAGATCTGAATTCAAATAACTGCTCAGCTAAGAAATCAAAGTGCATTTTACCAAGACAAGGACAGATCTCCAGTATAAAAATTACACTATATAACATGATTTTTGTTCCTGGATGATAAATGTCACTTCCTAATTGGTTCTGTCATAAAATTATGGGTAAAAGTTTATTAAACTGTAAAAACTTTGGTTTTGCAGGACATCCTGCTGCACATTTTGCTACAGTTTTTCAATCAGTATCTGCTATAGTCTCAACCAATTCAACATAGTTTGTAGCAGCCACAAAAACGAAGTTTCTGGAGTACAACAGCTACTTTCCAAGTAAGTACCGTACTATTAAACTTTCAAATGGTGTTACATAGTATTATAATCTATTCCTAAGAGCTTCTGTTTAGATAGAACAGGGTAACTTCAGATGTATCACCCCAAGTTTTGCAGGCAATAAGTGGGATACGTATGCAATGAAATAAATAAAATACAGCCACTTACATTGATGAAAACTTTGCAGTTAGTCTTACTATACTAGGATCTTAAATGACTGTAGAAGTTCTTAGTAGGTTTGTTTTATTCAAGTAACATACAAAAGAGTAAATGTTCCTCCTCCTACCCCAGATACAACCAGGTTACCAGATCCATAAAAATTGTAGTCTGATGGTGTATAATGTAGGAAACATTTTATTTATTATTTTATTACTTTCCACTTCTCCTACAATATGGGACTTAGTGGCCCAAATCCTATGGGTTTGTCCCAACTAGAGTGGACTAATGCATCAACAGTTGAACAGTGAGTTGATAATGTATTGTTGAAGGCCTTCATGGCCAGAGTCACTGGGTTGTTGTAGGTTTTTCGATGGCCATACAGCTCGAAAAACCTACAACTCAATAAGTTGACACATAGGTAAGTCCTACTGAATCAGTTGGTTTACTTTAATGGTAACTTACTAGGCAACTTTTAGAAAGACACATAGTCACAGCCATGGAAATCCCAGTAATAGGTTCACCATAGGGCTGCTGTAAGTTGTTAATGACTTGAAGGGACATAATATAGGCCTTTGTGTATAGGAATCATCCTGATGAATACATAGCCGTATTCACAAGTACATAAGCAAACTGTTCTTCCACAATGATAATCAAGAGTAAGTATCTTAATCTTTTTGAAGCATATTTTTGGAAGAGTATACTAATAACAGGAGGAAAAGGTATCAAAGTCATACAAAAATGCAAGCATCACTTTCATCTTCTTCTGATATTACATTCTAGTTTGCATTGTTATTATTTATATGAATACTATGAAGGCATTAAAAATCATTTACTTAACTTCCTTATCTATATGCTATTTCTTGGCTATTCTCTCTCCCTTTCTTTTCCTTTGCCAAACTTTTGGTTGGGAACCAGGGGGTGGGTCAGATCTGTTCTTGTATTAGACCAATGATTCTCAGCTTGTGAGTCCCCAGGTGTTTTGGCCTACAACTCCCAGAAATCCCAGCCAATTAACCAGCTGTTAGGATTTCTGGAAGTTGAAGGCAAAAACATCTGGGGACCCACAGGCTGAGAACCACTGTATTAGATAGTTAAATCATTTAATAACTAACCATCTTTGACCATAGCTACTGCATGGCTTATGGAATTGAACAGTTCTCTCTAGGTCAGTGGTTCCCAACCTGTGGCCCATGAACCACCAGTGGTCCGCAAAAACTAAAATGTGGTCTGCGGCCTCACCATTACTACACCATTACAATGAAAGCGACTGATCTCACAAAACCCTCTTATAGTACCGAGGCTTGTTGAATATGGCTTTTTGTGTGAGAGCAGATGGTGACTACTGGATGGCATATATTCTGTATCAGAAACTGGAGCTGATGTGGTCTATCCAATGCAATTTTCAGAATCAGCAACCTAAATAACCAAACCAAATCTAAAGTTGACCAAAAACTGATTTGTAACCCTTTCGAATTAATGTTGGAGAGTGGTCCATGATTAAATGGTGCCTGGTCAAACAACTGTTGGAAATCACTGGTCTACATAGTGCTAGTTTCCTCTTTTGTTCTCGCCCTCTCTCCTTCTTGCATATACTATACTATAGCTTATTTAATTTGTTTCTGTTCATTAGTTTGTTTATATCTAGGTTTTAGGCTCTAGGTTTTGCCAACATACCAAAAAGAGGATTCTAGGTTTTGCCAGGATACTGGGTTTGGTTACAGGACCTTTCCATGGATGTTCAAATTCCATTATGTATAATGGTGTAAAACATTGTCTCTTATATAAAGTGGAGAAATATAGGTCGATTTTCAAGCTATGGATGTTGAATACGTGGATACAGAGGTCAGAGTGTAGCACCTGCTTTCTAAGGGTGCAGCTGCATTTGGTGAGTACTGGTGCCTGATTAAACTACAACTCCTAGGATTCACCCTGACACGCCTTGAACTGCTTTGGCTCAATGTTATGGAATTGTGAGCGTTCCCGTTTGGAGAAGCACCTGCCCTCTTTGGCAGAGAAAGCTGAAGACGTTGTAGAACTACAACTCCCATGAGTCCACAGCACTGAGCCACAACATACAGAGTAGTATCAAACTGCATTCATTCTGCTGTGTAGATGCACCCCAAGTACTCCCCCTTGAAATGGAAGGGAAGAGACAGAGTTTGGAAAAGTTCCTTTTTTTGGACAACTCTCAGCCGCAAGGCTCCCATGCCTCGAGATACACAATAGGTTCCTATGGCAGTTCGTGTAAGAATGTCTCGAGACAAATGAGAAATTGCCCGGTTCCACTTTTCCCCCGCACTCTAGGGAAAGGAGCATTAGAACGCTGAAGAGCCAGCCCTCTGATTGGCCAACTCTCTAGTTCGCAGCCCGCCTATCTGACCTGACTGATAGCTACCCACACCAATCGAGAAGCATTCCAGCGTTTTGCCCCGGCGACGAAGACTGGAGTGACTGGTAGGGTTCGCACCGCATGCGGAGGCGCCTCGACGCGGCCCTGTGCTTTGGTGGCCCTTACCTCGAGTGACGTCCTGGGAGCGAGTATTTTGCGACACATCTGTGAGCCCGACGAAGAGTTTTGCGGCGGTCCGGAGCAGCACTCGGCAAGCGGCTGGCGGCCCACGGCCATAGAGACGACACGACAGAAGGGCCACTTGATTCGACCGGAACTTCCGGTATGTTGGCTGTCGAGAAGGAACTCTCTAATAAGGAGACGTAGGCGGAAGCGGAGAGGCTATAGACTCTGATCATAGTAGAGTATCGAGCTGCCGTACTTCCGGGTGTAGTTTTTGTCATTTTTAAATACCTGGATGCAAGTCTCATTTAATCTAGAAGGTTTTACTTCTAAACATCTATAAGCGTGAGTTACCAATAGAAGAGATAATGGAAATCGATGTAAATTTCAAATCATGCTCATATGTAACTGAAAGTTAACATGCTATTGTGAAATCACTTGTTGCTTCAAATTTATATTAGAACTAGAAGCAGTGCTATTTGTAAATGAAAACGGGAATTTCAGACAAGAAACAATCAGGGCCAGCTACAACCAAGGACTCCCCCAGGCAGGAAGCAGCCAGGCTTTGAAGCTGCAAGACTTTTCAATGCTGATGAAGCTGGCCAATTGCAACATTCACACTTGCCACAAACAGACAAAAGTTCTTTTCTCCCACCCTGGACGTAAACCTCACTTGCCTAGTTTCCAACAGACCTCGCAACCTCTGAGGATGTCTGCCATAGATGTGGGTGAAACATCAGGAGGAAACGCTTCTGGAACATGGCCATACAACGAGCCCCCGGTGGCGCAGTGGGTTAAACCCCTGTGCTGACAGGACTAAAGACTGACAGGTCACAGGTTCAAATCCGTGAAAAGGCAGATGAGCTCCCTCTACCAGCTCCAGCTCCTCATGCAGGGACATGAGAGAAGCCTCCCAAAAGGATGATAAAACATCAAATCATCCGGGCGCCCCCTGAGCAACGTCCTTGCAGACAGCCAATTCTCTCACACCAGAAGTGACTTGCCTTCTCAAGCCACTCCTGACACGACAAAAAAATAAAATAAATAAATGGCCATACAGCAGGGAAAACTCACAGCAACCCAATGTTAACTTTATTTTTCTGCTTTATTTCTTTTAGGAATGTAATCAACATGATCCATTCGGAAGGAGCTGAACAACAACTCTCTGAATTAGATTTGCTTTCCAGTATGTTTCCCAATGAGGATGAATTTAAGGTGACTGACCAACTGGCTCTAGCAGAACTGAAAGATCGGGTGGAAAAGTGCACTTCGGAAGAGCCATCTTCAAAAATACAGTTTATGCTTAATTTAGAAATAGAGAAGCCTGATGGAAGTGAGGTACTGTTGTCTGAAAGTAAATGAACATGCCTTTTGAATTTATACTCTTAAATATACTATATAGACATATATTTTAAAAATCTCTTTCTAGGTTCCCCTTTCTTTGTTCTGTGCTTTCCCATTGGAATATCCCACCGTGCTTCCAGAAATCACTATCAGGTACTACATGTTATATTCCACAGGGGGAAATTAAATATGTTTATTATGTTATTGTTGATGTTATGTTCTCAAATCAGTTCCAAGTTATGGCAACCCTAAGGCAAAACTACTACTGGAGCTGAGAGTGTGTGATCGATCCAAGATCACTCAATAGGTTTCCGTGATCAAGCAGGAAATTAGACCTTGTCTCACCAATAATAATAATAATAATAATAATAATAATAATAATAATAATTTTTATACCCCACCTCCATGTCCCCATTATCAAGCCCAGAACATACAACAAAATACACCAACTAAAACATAATAAAAAACGTAATAGTATATCAAAATCCAATTAAAATGCAGCAGGGTATAAAACTGCAACTATATAGGCTGCAACTATACTCTATATATATATGTGCGAACATTGGCCCTCCAGATGTTTTGGACTTTAACTGCCACAATGTGGGAGTTAAAAGTCCAAAACACCTGTAGGGCCAATGTTTGCCTATGCCTGCTCTAGAATGCATGCTGTTGAATGCCAGGAGTTACAGTTTTATGAGGCTCCAACAGTCTTTAACAAAGAAAGCTAAGGACCTTGTAAAAGTACAAATCTCAGGATTCCATTGCATTCAGCCATAGCAGTTAAAATAGTGTCAAACCACATTCATTCTATACCGATAGTCAAATGCACTGCAATATACGTATAGATCTTCAGTGTCTATCAATTATCAGTTATCAATTAAAAACACTATTGAAATGCTTCTCTAATTTTACAAATGGAGAACCGAGTAACATGATTTTGTTATTATAATGCTCATTTTTGAAAAATATGACAACTGACAAAAAGCAGTGTCCCAAGCTGTTACACAAGTTGAAAGCTTAAACATTAGCCGGTGTAAAATGTAGCTGAAACCATGTTTTTAAATCGATAATTGACATGCACCTGTCCTTCCTAGAATCAGAACTGAAAATGACTAGCCTCAGACTTGTGCCTTTCCTTCCATCTTGTGTTAAGGCAGGAAGACTAAAGCAGTTTCTTGTTGTGTTTTAATTTATGGCATTGCAGTTTGATCTTGGTTTTTTAATTGAATTGTTGTTTATTTGTTTAGTTGCTTCTGACTCTTTGTGACCTCATGGACCAGCCCACGCCAGAGTTCCCTGTTAGTCATTGCCACCCCCAGCTCCATCAAGATCAAGCCAGTCACTTCAAGGATAGCATCCATTTATCTTGCCATTGGTCGGCCCCTCTTCCTTTTTCCTTCTGTTTCCCCAGCATGTATTAGTATCACTGATTTCAGTTGTCTGCTCTGGACAAGTCTTTAAATCTGGTTCCACCCATTATGTTCAATGAAGGAAAATGAGAAATAAGCATAATCTAGAGCAGGGCTCCTTACACTTTTTCCAGTTGTGACAGCTTTCTTTCTGATCAACGTTTATGCAACCCCAGGTATCTAAGTATGCAAAATAGCTATAAAAACCTAACATTTACTGATAAAAAAATATCAAAATTTGCAATGTTGTCTTTTTGTGGAGTACAGCTGAAGCATTTTTTGCAGTGTCCACTGTAAACACTACGTGTTGTTGCTAATAGATTAGTGTCACCTTTGACTACTGCCACATTTTTGAGACTCCAGCATTGAGCTATGGGAACCCCATTTGGGTTCAGGACCCACAGCTGAAGCAGTGATCTAGAGCATGTTTTGGATTGTATTATGCAATTCATTTTTATTGACGGTGTGTTTCAAACTGTGCTATCTTTCCCCACTTACAGGTCTCAATTCATAAGCCGATCCCAGCAGGCTCAGCTAAATACAGATCTTATAACATACTTGCAGAAGCATTGTGCTGGTGAAGTGTGCATTTTAAGTGCAAGAGAATGGATTAAAGATCATGCTGCTGCTTACATCAACAAGGAACGATCATCTTCCACTTCACAGAAATCAAATATTCAAAGTTCTGAGGATATCTTCACCAGACTCTGGATTTACAGCCATCACATTTATAACAAGCAAAAAAGAAAGAATATAATTGACTGGTCTAAGGAACTTTCTCTCACTGGATTCAGCATGCCTGGGAAACCAGGTATCATTTGTGTTGAAGGCCCACAGAGCATGTGCGAAGAGTTCTGGGCAAGGTGGGTATTCATATATCTTTTATTTAAGATTTGCAATACTCTTCTTTTGACTGGTAACATTAGTAATAGAAAATTCCTAAGATGGTATTAACCCCCCCCCCCCCGGTAGATCAGATGTTTACAACTGATTTGACTTGATCCCTCTTGGATCCAAATTCACTCCTATAGTTAATGTAGAAAGCAACTTTCTTAATCAATTCTATATTGTAAAGCATATAGTATTTATAATCCCAACTAGTTATATGTAAAGGTAAAATATTCACAGTTATTCTTAAATTTTTTTGTTGTGTCAAGAGCAACTTGAGAAATTCTTAAAATAATTTCTATCTACAGTGGAGTTAAGGATCCAGCTGTAAAACTAATGCAGTCTGACAGCATTTTAACTGCCATGACTCTATTGTATGGACCCACAGGAGTTGTAGTTTTACAAGGTCTTCAGCCTTCTCTGCCAAATGGTGCTGGTGCCTAAAGAAACTACAATTTCTACGATTTGGTAGCATTGAGTGCTGGCAGTTAAAATGGTGTCAAACTGCATTAATTCTGCAGCATATAATTAGCATTTTCTTTCCTTAAATCCATTCAGACATGTCAGGTGTTCCAGTTTTTCCATAGTACCAGTGATATAGTAATTTAGAATACATTCGGAGTTCTAGCTTAACAGAAACATGTGGTGAGGAGAATAATTTGCTGAAACCAAAAGCCATGCATAATAGTATAAACACACATTCCTTTATGTCTAGCCTTCACTGTGATTTTTGAAATCTTAATGACAGAACAAACTTGTTACATTAGAAGGTTTTTTTGGCATGGCAGGGAGAACAACATAAGTAATCTTAGGAGTTGCAATTCTACAGTAGATGGCTTCTCGTTCAGAAGTTGCTTGATCCCCTTAGTAACACAGGAACCTGTGCACTCTCTTAAGGGTGTAATGAGTTGACTTCTGCCACACGATGGATTTGCTGCAGTTGTTGGTGGCATGGCCAAATGTTAATAGCTGCCCAGTGGTATATAAAAGGTTAATGCTTGCATTGATTTGGCAGTTTGAAGCTGGGAAAAGATATGAAGGTGGAGAATAGACAGGATAGGTGAATTTTCCTAAGTTTCTATCCTACGTAGAGATGTCAAAGTTGCACGCTCTGATTTTCTTTGCTTTTCAACTAAATTCCAGTTTAAATCCTGCTTGATGGGCCAAATTGTTTTGTTCTGGAACTAGGGGTGGTTTCACATATCCCCATTTGGTGCCAAACAGTCATAGCACAAGTTACTGTATATTGGTAAGTCAGCAAATGGTATACTGCAGAGAATCTTTTCAGCCCTATTAATGATGGGATTCAGCTTCCCTTCACAACTAGTGCTACTCACACTAAATCTGGCTACAGTCCAGTTCCCCAAAGTATATAAACATGAACCATTTCTACACCAATAGCTATGAGAACTATACCAGCAAGTTAGAAACAGCAAACTTCACTAGATCTTAATATATTTTCCCATCCTTGAACTACAAAGTTATCCAAAAAAATATCATAGGATAGAATCATAGAGTTGGAAGAGACCTCATTGGCCATCCAGCCCAACCCCCTGCCAAGAAGCAGAAAAATTGCATTCAAAGCACCCCTGACAGCCATCTATCCTCTGTTTAAAAGGCTCCAAAGAAGGCGCCTCCACCACACTCCAGGGCAGAGTGTTCCACTGCTGAACAGCTCTCACAGGAAGTTCTTCCTAATATTCAGGTGGAATCTGCTTTTGAGTATTTTAATCGTATACAGTTTAGGAGAAATGTAATAGGATAGTAAGTAATGACAAGTATTTCTAGGAATATATGCTACATTTTAAAATACAGATAAATGTCAAATAGCAGTAATAGACTGAATTGTATAATAATAATTTCTGACATAATTTCAGTTACACTGAAATTTTGATTAATTACAACTAACACAGTCCACTGGTTTTAACAGAATGTTTTAGGAGTAACTTTAGCTGGATTAGATATTGTTGCATTTTCTAAGTGTGCAATACTCTCATTTTATCTAGACTTCGAAGATTATCATGGCAACGGATTTTGATTCGGCACAGGGAAGATATTTGCTTAGAGGGAGCTGAAGGGCAAATGGGGAAACAAAAGAAGTTCACAGTTTTTGAAGAAAAAATATTTGATGCACATGGTGCCAGAGGAAATCACATGGATTTGGGACAGTTGTATCATTTTTTACTTGACAGTGGTTGTGGTGATATATTTCAATTGTACTTTGGAGTTGAAGGACAGTAGAAAACCACAACATTTTCCTTTTTTAAAAAAATAAATAAATAAAAATAAATGATGGCTAAAGATTTTATTTATGGCTACTTAATAAATCTTTGATGCACCAATAAAGTTCCTTTGAAGAGGATAGTTTATTTTAATTACAAAGATTTAAAATAGCTTAGTTCATATTATCGACTATTGTTGACTAAAGCTTATTCACAGTTACGCAAGTCTAAATCTCTGATGGGATTGTAGAAATGCTACCGGCTTCTTTAGCCCATGTTATTTGTCTTTAAGTTGTTTCCAAGTGATTGTGACTCTAGTTTAAGGGGAACCTGTAATTGGCTTTTCTGAGTAAGATTCATTCAGATAGGATTTGACTTTGCCCTCCTCTTGAGATTAAGAGACTGTGGGTGAATCTACACTGTGGAAATAATGTGAGACCACATTAATTGCCATGCTATGGAACCATGAGAGTTGTAGCCAGTACTTGGGGCCATGCAAATTATTGCTGCTGGAGTTCAAAATGACCATTATCATTTTTTACTGCTTAACATTATTTTTTTCTTTAGAAGTAGCAAGCTGTAACTCAGGTTACTCACAGATAGACAATAGTGGATATGTGCTTACCTCTTACACCACGTGTGAGCAAACTTCAGCCCTTCAGGTATTTTGGATTTAATTTCCACAGTTCCTAACAGCTGGTCCACTGGTTGGGATTTCTGGGAGCTGAAGTCCAAAACACCTGGAGGAGTAGTTTGAGAAACATTGGTTTTCAACCTGTGGGTCGCCAGGTGTTTTGGCTTACAACTCCCAGAAATCCCAGCCAGTTTACCAGCTGTTAGAATTTCTGGGAGTTGAAGGCCAAAACATCTGGGGGCCCACAGGTTGAGAACCACTGTCTATATCAGTGGTTCTCAACCTGTGGGTCCCCAGGTGTTTTGGCCTACAACTCCCAGAAATCCCAGCCAGTTTACCAGCTGTTAGAATTTCTGGGAGTTGAAGGCCAAAACATCTGGGGACCCACAGGTTGAGAACCACTGCTTAGACAGTGGTTCTCAACCTGGGGTCCCCAGATGTTTTTGGCCTACAACTCCCAGAAATCCCAGCCAGTTTACCAGCTGTTAGGATTTCTGGGAGTTGAAGGCCAAAAACATCTGGGGACCCCAGGTTGAGAACCACTGCCTTAGACTAACTGCTTATCTGTTTCTAACATATGGATCCCAAAATAGGACAAATATGTGGTTTGCCCTAACTCCACTGAAAACTTTTCAGAATAAGCATCAATTCTAGTGTTGTTCAAACTTCCTGCCATCTTGGTAAACTGCCATCATTCACTTATCTGCTGAGAACATTCTGCTTTGTAGAAGAATTGGAACATGTTATTTTATGTGGATCACTAGCCAGACCTCTTCAGCTTCATCATTGCTTATGCATAGATCTGGGGAAGATGACTAATGGAGTAGAAACTGTTTAAATGCCATTCTCCTAAACAGAAAAAAACCCTGTCAGGTTCTAGGAATGGCAACATTGGACTGTTTCCAGAAACACATAGCAATTCTCAATTGCTAACAAAAAATAACCTTTTGTGACTTTAAATTAGGCGTGGGCAAACTTTGGCCCACCAGGTATTTTAGAATAATAGAAGCACAGAGTTGGAAGAGACCTCGTGGGCCATACAGTCCAACCCCCTGCCAGGAAGCAGGAAAATCCCTTATGTCTGCATATAATGAGATGTGTGAAGCAGCACATCACCCCACAATATGTTAGGGTTACATATTTCAAAATGCAGAAAACACATTTAACAACACACTGCCTGAAACTACTAATCACTACAGTAACTCTTACTTTAAATATTCATACTATATACAGGGCTAGAAATACTCCCAGTGTTCATTGTGTTTAAATAGCAACAAATTGCCTTGCCTTTCCCCCTTCTCTGCCTCTTCCAGAGCTGCCTCAGCTTATTTCTCTTTCTCCTTCTCTCTGAATCTCTCGCTCTCTCATTCTTGTTTTCTCTGAGCCATTCTCTGCCTCATCTCCTTGCAAAATTATCAGTGGTGACTCAGAGTTGGGGCAAAAAAGAAAGAGACAGACCTTCTGGACATTTTAAAAGAATAATAGAATCCTAGAATTGGAAGAGACTTCATGGGCCATCCAGTCCAACCCCATTCTGCCAAGAAACAGGAAAAGCTCATTCAAAGCACCTCCAACAGATGGTCATCTGGTCTCTGTTTGAAAGTCTCCAAAGAAGGAGCCTCCACCACAGTCTGGGGCAGAGAGTTCCACTGTTGAACAGCTCTCACAGTCAGGAAGTTCTTCCACATGTTCAGATGGAATCTTTGCTGTAGTTTGAAGACATAATTATGCATCCTAGTCTCCAGGGCAGCGGAAAACAAGCCTGTTCCCTCCACCCTATGACTTCCCCTCACATATTTATGCATGGCCATCGTGTCTCCTCTCGACCTTCTCTTCTTCAGGCCAAACATGCCCAGCTCTTTAAGCCGCTCCTCATAGGGCTTGTTCTCCAGACCCTTGATCATTTTAGTCATCCTCCTCTAGACACATTCCAGCTTGTCAATATCTCTCTTCAGTTGTGGTGCCCAGAATTGGACGCAGTGTGAGTCCAGGTTTGGCCTGACCCTGGATCTAGACACTAGACTCCTATTGATGCAGGCCAAAATCCCGTTGGCTTTTTTAGCTGCAGCATTGCATTGTTGGCTCATGTTTAACGTGTTGTTCACAAGGACTCCAAGACACCAACAGGCTGATAGGAATTTGTGGGACTTGGAAGTCCAAAACCCCTGGAGGACCGAATTTTGCCCATGCCTGTTTTAAATATATTGAAAGTCCCAAAAAAGGATATATATTTTGCCTACTTACACATGACTTAATCTACAAAACCCTGCATTGGAAGGAACGCTTCCTTTCCCATTTCTCTTAGGACCAAAAGAACTCGGGGGCGGTAATGGGCGGGAGGGAATCCCCTCGCACCCTTCCGGTCCGCCCCCTCCCTCTCTGGGCGGGGCGGGGGAGGGGACTCGATGATGCCAAGGCGGCCTCGACTTCCTTCTTCCACCCGGAAGCGCGGCTTCCCTTCAGTTCCTCCCTCTCTCGGTTTCCCTGGGCTTCCCACGACGGTTGAGGCCCCAGCCATGGGAGACAGGCCCAAGCAGCGGACGAAGGGCAACGTGAGGGTGAGGCGGCCGGGGGTTTTGCGGGCGTAGAGGGGGATCGGGCAACTCCCTTCCCGGCCAAGCCAGGCTATGTCACAACGACTCCCTTTCGCCAGAGCAGGTTCGGGGTGAGTCTACACCAGGCATGGGCCGAAAGGAAGGGGCTTGAGGCTGGCAGGAATGGTGAGGTTGGCCCATGCCTGGTGTAGAGGCATCCTCAAATGGGATGACTTGCTGGGGAGGTGCAAACAGCTGCTTTATTTCTCTGCCCCTTTTTTCAAGGATCTAAGCAGGGTCGGCCCTGGGTAGCACCTGAATGGGACACTAACAAAGTCCAGGGGTTGGATCTCCATTTCAGAGCAAGGAACTGGCCACGGAGGTTAAGATCTTCTGGGGAGGCCCTTCTCTTGGTCCTGCCTGCATCGCAAGCGAGGATGGTGGGGACAAGACACAGGGACTTCTCAGTGGTGGCTTCTCAGCCTTTAGAAAGAAATCAAAGGCATGGTTGTTGGAACAAGCCTTTGGCCAGTAAAGCAGTGGTTCTCAACCTTTCTAATGCTGTGATCCCTTAATACAGTTCCTCATATGGTGGTGACCCCCGACCATAAAATTACTTTCGTTGCTACTTCATAACTGTAATTTTGCTATTGTTATGAATCATAATGTAAATATCTGATATCCAGGGTGTATTTTAATTCACTGGATCAATATGGGCACAAATGCCCGATACACCCAAATCCGAATACTGGTGTGGTTTGGGGGAGTCATTTAGGAGTTGTAGTTTCTGGGATTTATAGTTCAGCTACAATTAAAAAGCAACCTGAACTCCACCAATGATGGAATTGAACCAAATTTGGCACACATAACTCCCATGAGAAAATACTGGCAGGGTTTGGTGGGCATTGACATTGAGTTTTGGAGTTGTAGTTCACCTACATCCAGAGAGCACTGTGGACTCAAACAATGGTGGATCTGGACCAAACCTGGCACAAATACTCTATATGCCCAAATGTGAACTCTGGTGGAGTTTGGGGAAAATAGACATTGACCTTTGGGATTTGTAATTACTGGGATTTATAGTTCACGTAGAATCAAAGACTTTTTTGAACACCAACAATGGTGTTCAGAAAACTTGACACACGGAACTCCCTTGACCAGCAGAAAACACTGGGTTTTCTGATGGTCTTCGGTGACCCCTCTGATACCCCCTCGTGACCCTCCCAGGGGTCCCGACCCCCAGATTGAGAAACCCTGCAGTAAAGTAATGCAGTGCAAAGAAGAATTAGGGATTATGTGCAATGACAATTGAAATGGCTATGGTTTACGATTTTGAATCATGTGATTTTAATATTTATATTAAGATGTTTTTAATGCTTTGTCTTAATATTTAAATTTTGTTTATGGAGCAGTAGGTTAAACCCTTGTGCTGGTAGGACTGAAGACTGACAGGTCAGAGGTTCAAATTTGGGGTGAGCGTGGATGAGCTCCCTCTGTCAGCTCCAGCTCTCCATGCGGGGACATGAGAGAGAAGCCTCCCACAAGGATGGTAAAACATCAAAACATCCTTGCATCCCCTGGGCAATGTCCTTGCAGACAGCCAATTCTTTCACACCAGAAGTGACTTGCAGTTTCTCAAGTTGTCCTGACCACCCCCTCCCCCCCAAAAAAAACAAACCCATCATCTATACGATTTTATAAAAGCTTTCATTAAACAGGTATATCTTTTCTAATGAACCATTCATAAAATTATAAAGTTCACAATGGGTGTTTTTTAACACATAGTATTACAAAATACATAACCAGGGCAGCAGTAGTTCAATATAATTTCTCAATTATTGTCCTTAAAAACATAACATTTTTGTGACTTTGAAGCAGGCATGGGCAAACTTTGACCGTCCAGGGGTTTTGGACCTCAACTTCCACAATTTAAAGCAGGCATGAGCAATTAAAGCAATAACATTAATAAACAAATATTAAACATTTTTCTCTCTAAAATTAATCCTTTTTCTTTCCAAAACAGCCCTCTAGTAGTGGTAGAGCAGCAGAACTTCTTGCCAAAGAGCGAGGAACTGTTCCAGGGTTCATTGGCTTCGGGACATCTTCCAGCGATCCAGGATATGTTCCTGCAATTCAAGGAGCTGAAGAAATAGATAGCTTAGTAGATGCAGATTTTCGAATGGTGCTCAGGAAACTTTCCAAAAGAGATGTTATTACCAAATTAAAGGTTGGTTGGTTTTATTGTTGTTAAAATAGCATGCAAAGGCTAAGCATTAATATCTACTGTGCCACAACTCTCAAAACATCTTTAAATAGATTACATATACCCAGAAACACTTTGAGAAAAAAAATTCACTTGTGTAGTACAAATAATGTTGCATTGTAGGATATTACACAGTTTGGTTGAAATCATTTTCATGTAATAGTTGCTGAACTTTCAGGGCATTTTTGACAGTCTGTGTGCCCTTGAAATATCCTGAAAATTGGTCCTGGGTGATTGTGAGGTCATCAGGGCAGAATATCTGACAGGTAGAGAGGATGGATTGATAGTCTTTAGGGTACAATCCAGAGAAAGTTAAGGTACACCAAAGTATATTTGAAATCACTGATATCAATACATAGAAAACCACCTAAAGTAACATAGCACTGAAACTTTATTTGGGATTATACAACAACAGTAATATTTATTACAGTCGATATACCAATCAGCAAACAAACAGTTGTTTATAAATTCTCCCATCTCAGGAGAAGTTCACGAAACTGTATTTGGAATTACGTCTCATTGAACTTAATGAGATTTATCTATGTGAAACAAATATTATGCTCAAAATGGTAATGATTCCAATAGGACATGCAGCCCGATCTGTGTGGTTTTAAGTGATTTAAATAAATCCCAGTGGTGTTCAGTTGGATAGAATGGATAGAATGCACTGACTGTGCACTTTGTATTTCAATTAGCAAGTGATTCATGAGGAGCCTGAATGGTAGGGATTTTGTTATCATTTGACAACCTTATTTGTGTATAGTTACGTGGTTTTAACACGACAGTCAGAATTGTTATCCAGCCATGAATGCAAATGTTTGTAATATTGTATATAGAGAATTAATAGCAATGTCTGTATATGTGTGTGTGTGTTGTAAAATCATGTTCATTTTTCCTGTCTTTAATTTTAGGCTATGCAGGAATTCGGGACAATGTGTAAGGAGAGAGAAGCAGAGGTTGTTAAAGGAGTTCTACCATATTGGCCTAGAATTTATTGTAAAATATCCGTTGTGAGTATTGAAACTCTTGGATTATATAAAAATTGACAAATGGTGTCTCTATGATTATGCTACAGTAGTTAAAGAAATGTGAAAAATGTGTTTTTGTAGTGAGTGAGATTAATTTGTTCTGAATAATATTTTGATATCAAGCCACATTGTGCTTTATGTTTAAGTTATGTACATGAAGATGTATGGAAAATATTGGATTCATTTTTGGGTGCAAATATTTTTTCAAGATAGAGAAACAAATAGCTTTTATTTGTGTTGTCTCTGCTTTATAAGTATATTTACTTTTCAATGTTATTGTAGGATCATGACCGCCGGGTCCGAGAAGCCACACAAGAAGCTTTTGAGCAGCTTATTCTGAAAGTTAAGAAACATTTGGCACCTCATTTAAAGAGTCTTATGGGGCACTGGCTGATAGCGCAGTGCGATACTTACTCTCCTGCAGCATCTGCAGCAAAAGTAGCATTTGAAAAAGCCTTTCCACCAAGTAAACAGCCAGAAGCTTTAGTGTTTTGTAAAGATGAAATTCTAACTGTAAGTTTTCCATTTTTAAAAAATTAAAAAAATTAAGGAGAGATTATTTTCTATTTTTAAGTAAATATAAATATTGTATTGAACAGAAATACATTCCATTTAGAAAGCCTTTTAATTACTTTTTAATTTATGATTATGTCATGTACAGGTATGTTATCATTTGCCTATTCTACAAAAGTGAAAGTTTAGAATATTTTATAATCAAAACTGATAATCCTGATGCAGCAAATACCATTAGTTTAGTAAGCCATTTTTAATTCCTGGACTTTTAAATTCTTTTTAAATTATTTATTACTCTTCTTATTAGCGGATACTGTCAATAAAAGAGAACAAGTAGCTTACTTGTGAATGCTTTGAATAGCTAGTTAATCATTCACACATGTGAGTTCTGTGTTTCTTCGCACTATCAGTAATAAAAATACATTTATTTAGTCTAGAAAATATATTACTACTGACATCACAAATGAGATTGTGCTTTGATATGACCGATGGGCTAATCAATAAAATGTACTACAAATGAGATTGTTCATTGTGAGTATTTCAGAACAATTTCAAAATGTTTTGCAGTGGGTTAGGGTGGTTAAAAATTATTGGGATTTACTAATACATCTCTGATTTGCATTAGTCTTTCTGTATTTATCAATAAAACAACACTGCCTTTCTGCTATTTATTATATCATAAAAGTAAATGGGAATTGATTTTTCTGTGAAAGGCAAGCTTCATTCAGTTATAGTCAAAATTCTGGGCTTGGAATTTGAAATATATATACTTTGCATCAACATCTTTTAATGGATCTCAGGGTTTTTTAAATCAAAAATCAAATGGCTCTGAAGCCCTCTATATCTACAATATAAAAATAATAAAAGAACATGACAGTGTTGTCCTTCTCCTTCTGATTAATAATGATTGTTAACATGTTTTTATAAGAACTATGGCATTCTCCCCTCACGCCATTTAACGACATCTGATTGTATTTGATCCAGGTGCTACAAGATCATCTTTTGAAAGAAACACCTGATACATTAAGTGATCTTCAGTATGTATTTTTAATATACACACATTATTTTTAGCTTAAAATACAAATTTAATTTGTATTAATTGTTAGGTTCTTGTAGGTTTTTTCGGGCTATAGGGCCATGTTCTAGAGGCATTCTCTCCTGACGTTTCACCTGCATCTATGGCAAGCATCCTCAGAGGTAGTGAGGTCTGTTGGAACTAGGAAAATGGGTTTATATATCTGTGGAATGACCGGGGTGGGGCAAAGAGCTCTCTGCTGAAGCTAGGTGTGAATGTTTCAACTGACCACCTTCATTAGCATTTGAAGGCCTGTCTGAGCCTGGGAAAATGTTCTGTTGAGAGGTGTTAAGATGTGCCTGGTTGTTTCCTCTCTGCTGTTTTGCTGTTAATTTTAGAGTTTTTTAATACTGGTAGCCAGATTTTGTTCATTTTCATGGTTTCTTCCTTTCTGTTGAAATTGTCCACATGCTTGTGGATTTCAATGGCTTCTCTGTGTAGTCTGACATGGTGGTTGTGAGAGTGTTCCAGCACTTCTGTGTTCTCAAATAATATGCTGTGTCCAGGTTGGTTCATCAGGTGCTCTGCTATGGCTGATTTCTCTGGTTGGAGTAGTTTGCAGTGCCTTTCATGTTCCTTGATGCGTGTCTGGGCGCTGCGTTTGGTGGTCCCTATGTAGACTTGTCCACAGCTGCATGGTACACGGTAGACTCCTGCAGAGGTGAGAGGATCCCTCTTATCCTTTGCTGAACGTAGCATTTGTTGGATTTTCTTGGTGGGTCTGTAAGTGGTTTGTATGTTGTGTTTCCTCATCAGTTTCCCTATGCGGTCAGTGGTTCCCTTGATGTATGGCAGGAACACTTTTCCTCTGGGTGGATCTTCATCTTTACTCTCGTGGCTTGTTCTTGGTCTTGCAGCTCTTTCTGATGTCTGAGGTGGAGTATCCATTGGCCTGGAGAGCCCAGTTGAGGTGGTTCAGTTCATCTTGGAGGAGGTGGGGTTCGCAGATTCTTTTTGCACGGTCTGCCAAGGCTTATAATGGTGCTTCTTTTTTGACTTGGGTGATGGTTGGAGTTTTTATGTAGATATCTATCTGTGTGTGTGGGTTTTCTGTAAACGGTGTGACCCAATTGTTGATCTGGTTTGGATGACTAGGACATCTAGAAAAGGCAGTCTTCCTTCATTTTCTTTTTCCATGGTGAACTGGATGTTTGGGTGGATGCTGTTAAGATGGTCCAGGAACCTGTTGAGTTCTTCTTCTCCATGGCTCCAAATGGTGAAGGTGTCATCCACATATCTGAACCATATCGTGGGCTTTTTGGTTGCTGTATTAATTGTATTTATTGCCTGTAAGAATTAAGATATAAAGCATGTTTGAAATATGTCAAATCTGACAGGAAATTTTTCTCCCACTTCAGAGCTTTCTGCATACTCTTCCCACTGAAATCAGTCTAGTAGTGGTTATATTATAATATAATATAACCACTACTAGACTGTGCTTCCTATTCATTCTAGTAGTTGCATGAGTGGCATTTGCATATATGATTGTTCTTCATGTGCCTCATACTATCGGAGAACTCATGAGGTGCTTTAGGAGGTGGTTATTTTGCTATGTCTGAGTGACGACAGTGTAGTTGAGTACTTTAAGGTCCTAGTCAGAGAACTTCTGCTTGGATAATTTTATTGCCATTCAGAATTACTGCAAGATGAAATAGAAAATGTACAGTTATTGACCGTGGAATATTAATGGTGAAGACAATTATGTCTCAGTTTGTAGCAGTGATATAAGTACAGTTCATACTCAAAATCTGAACATTATCTTGGTTTTTGGAGCATCTTGTTTAAAGATGATAATTTAAATCACATATAAAACATACTAGTGATTGAACTACATATTTACACAGCTTATATCTAAATTTTCCCTTTCTTTCCAGAACTGTGCCACAAGAAGAAAGGGAGGCAAAATTCTTTCGAATTCTAACCTGTTCTTTGCTAGCTTTAAAGAAATTGCTTTGCACATTGCCCAGTCATGAGAATAAGTTATTTGAGGAGAAACTTAAGCCTTTATTGTCTCAAAACAAATTTTGGAAATATGGGAAGCACAACATGCCACAGGTATTATATCTGTTGTCAGTATTTCCCTTCAAAATAGGAAACTGAGAAGAAAGAATGAAAAAACGGTTTCAGCAATCCTACTGTATATATTCATTTATAAGTCTCAAAGAAGAGGATGGTTTCTTTTTTTTATAAGAATACTGCACATTAACATTTATTTTTAAAAGGAGTTATTCTCTTTTCTGAATGGAAAAGGGCCTTTTTAAATGCCTGAGTGAGAAATAGTGGTTGCCCCTCTGAGGCAGCGCTGGTCTCTTCCCCTCTCTGCAAAATGACCCTTGATTTGTCCATAAATTTTGCCCCCAAAGCCTATTCTCAGTCTATACCTTTCATTGCTGCTCTGTTTCTTTAAGTGTGCCATCTTATTACAGGCGGTTTCCGAGTTACGGACATCTGGCATATGTACAACTCGTAGATATGAACAGGGCAGAGGAAGCTTTCTGGGGAGTGGTGGAGCTAGCTGTTCCTCCCCAGCCAAAGTGAAAGAGGTTGGCAAAGGAGCCAGCAACAGACTCCTTCTCCCCTCATTTCAAACTATGGCTATTGTACCTCTCCTTAGCGTTGGCTGCTGAGGAAGGGAGGGGGGTTGCTGACAGGCTCCCTTGCATTCCTCCATTGTCAATGCTGTGGCGAAGGAGCCTGTCGCCAGCTTCCCTTGCTTCTTGCCCCAGTGTTGGCTGAGGAGGAAGGCGAGAGAGCCTGTCAGCAAGCTCCCTCCTTTCCTCCTCAGCCAACTCACTCGAGTTTCAGTTTTAAAATGTATCCATTTAGACTTACAAACAGATTCAGCTTAAGAACAAACTATATAACCTATCTTGTTTGTAAGTTGGGAACTACCTGTATGTTTGGGATTTGGTAGAGAGTAATTCTTGAAACCCCTTAACAAAGATGGTTACTGGAATTTTCTTGAACTCTGTTTTTTGAGCTGTAAAACCACCTAAACATTGTCATCAAAACAATCCCAATTTACTTATGCTTTTTATGTATAAGACTCTGTATCCTCCAGTTCTCAAAATCTTTGTGAACAAGATTAATTAGCCCGAAAGTAGCTCTGAGTATTAGAGCACACAAATGATCTGCAAAGTAGTTCATCTGGAATACTTCTACTGACATTAAAGTGTTGGCCTCAGATTAAATGCTATGTGGACTGTAGTTATAGTAAGAATGATAAATGTTACAGAAGACACATTCACTCTTTTAGAAATGTTTTCTGAGGAATTAAATCTCTTGTCAGCATCCTTGTTGAAATAGTTTTGAACTTGGCTGTATCACATGTTTTTGTTCTAAGACAAATTTTGGATCAGAATTATTGTTCCCTTTATGCAACACTATTTGATAACTCAATTTTTAAACTTCAAAACATTTCCAAGTCCTTCAATTTTAATAAGGGAAAAAAACAAGATTGAAAAAGTTGCTGGATATGCTTTATAGACAGACTTTTGGTGAACCTTTAAAAACAAAAATGTCACTGCTCAAAAATATCTAATTTTCTTCTCTTCAACTTTAGGTTCGTTCAGCTTTTTTTGAGCTGATTTCTGCTTTTTGTTTGCACATTCCTGAGTCAATGAATGCTGAAGCATCCAGACTTTGCCTGGCAGTTCTTCTTAGCATCGATGACAATGATGCTGTTGTATGCCCCGCTCTTTGGGAAGCTGTACTCCATGTTCTTACTACCATTGAGGTAATCCACCTTTCACACTGTACTCCTGGTATCAAAAACTGGGAGTATATCTATACAGAATGAGGAAGGTTATATATGCTAAATTATCTTTTTCTGCACAATTGTCAAACATAGAGGAGGCCTGCATTCCACTTCATCTCTTTAATCTTCCCTCTCAAGGATTAAACAAAAGGGTGGCAACGCCATTACTCAATTTAGCTTAAATTGGAGTACAATTCACTTCTGACTGCTTATCCATCAGTTAAAGAAATTTTTCAAATATGTGATCTTGCCGCAATGAGAAGAGATGATTGTTTACTGTAGATTTATGTTGTTGTTTTGGCAGGGGAACAGTTTAATAATCTTGTAAGAATTTTTTCTAAATTGTGACAATTATACCTGTGATATCAAAGTAGTTTATCTTATAATCATCTTGAAAAATTGTTCTTCTCTAAGGGAAGTATTTGAGAATGATTAATTATTTTGTGATTTCTTAAAAACATTCAGATTCACTAATTATAAAATGAACAGGTAATTATTATTTGAACAAAGCAAAAGGGTGCAGTGTTATGTGGGTGGTGCATGAAATAGGTTAGATGTCTGTCCAAGCACCCTGCATATGCTTTAATGTATTTCTGCATTTTGTGGTATTTTGTAGGATTGCTGGAGTCATGTGAATGCAAAAAAGGGAGTCCTGCCGAAATTGTGGACTGTGCTACGAGAAGGAGGACGAGGGCTTGCTACTGTTATATATCCGAATCTCTTGCCATTTATTAGCAAGATACCACATGGTATTATAGAACCAAAGCTGGACTATTTTAGAACATTTTTCACCTCTGTATCTCAAGGGTAGGCATAAGTGAGCTCTTGTACAATTAAGAATTGCCATGTATATGGTAGGAACTGGAAAACGTGACTAGTTAAATTTAAGTGCTGCAGATACTTGACTTCAAATTCAGCTGTCTTACCCATAACTTGATATATATATATTATTTTCTTGCAAATCTAAATCATTGTTGTCTTTACAGCATACATTCTTTTTTTTTTTTCTAGTGTATATTCTCATGTATAAGTCAACTTCATGTAGATAACTAGATAATGTCTGGTTTTGTGAGTTGAAATTATGGAAAAGGCAAGGGCAGAAGAAAACATCAATGCCAAAATTTCTTTACTTCTATGTGAGCGTACAATGTTAGTTCTAATACTCTCTAATTGCTACTTGCAACACTATGTAAAATTCAAAGACATAGCTGTTTATTTATTTATTTATCGTGTCATCAGCAACCATACCATTGTATTTCAATTCTAACAGAACAAAACAAACACACAGATTAAAAAGAAAAGAAAAAAACACACAGATTTTGCAAAGCTTGGTAGTTGGTTAAATGTCCTTTGACCAGTATCTGGCCACTTGGAGTGCCTCTGGTGTTGCTGCAAGAAGGTCCTCCATTGTGCATGTGGCAGGGCTCAGGGTGCATTGCAGCAGGTGGTCAGTGGTTTGCTCTTCTCCACACTCTCATGTCGAGGATTCCACTTTGTGGCCCCATTTCTGAAGGTTGGCTCTGCATCTCGTGGTGCCAGAGCGCAGTCTGTTCAGCGCCTTCCAAGTCGCCCAGTCTTCTGTGTGCCCAGGGGGGAGTCTCTCATCTGGTATCACCCATGGATTGAGGGGCTGGGTTTGAGCCTGCCACTTTTGGACTCTCGCTTGCTGAGGTGTTCCAGCGAGTGTCTCTGTAGATCTAAGAAAACTATGTCTTGATTTAAGTCGTTGACGTGCTGGCTGATACCCAAACAGGGAATGAGCTGGAGATGTCTCTCTTAATGAGACATAGCTGTGTTAGTCTGGATTAGTATGGAAAAGGAATATGAAAAGTGATATAGGGGGAAATATGGAAAAGGATATTGTAGCTCCTTTGAGAACAACTGATAGAATGAATGTTGTAGCAGAAACTTTAGTAGAGGGAGTTTCTCTCATCTGATGTGTGGAATGAAGTGCCCCTGGACATACATTTTTACCCATGAGTGAGTAGGTATTGAATAGATAGTGAATAGATATTGCCTAAAGCCCAGAGAAGCAGATCACCATATAAATTACGGAAAAGGTTCTAGGATTATAGTAGGATGTTGGCTAAGAAGCAGAAAGGAGTTGTGATAAAATTACAGTATAAAAGTAGTCAATGCAACATGATTTAATACTATTTGAAAGTAAAATCAATAACAGTATTGGTCTTGTTTCTTAATTTTGTATTTGCTTAGGTTATTAACTGAAAGAGCTATGGCTTGCCACTCAGAATGTTCAGCAATCATATCCGCATTTATGGAATGTTTACGATTTACAGTACTACAGAATGTAGGGAACGAAAAAGAACAAATTGAAATCCAAGAAATGCTTATAAGTGAACAGGTATTTTATTATGGAAATTTTAAAATGTCATTTATACATTTTCCCATTTTAATAAATGACTTAGTTATAGTAAGTTGTCTGAAAGTCTGTGGTAAAATAGTTGAAAGAAGTCCTCCCTAGGCAGGAATTGTGAAATGGAAGGAGCCACAACTAAAATGACTCTTTTCAACTACACAATTTCCTAAGACTAAACAAACAAATGTATTGAATATTTTCTCTTAAATATTTTGAGAATGAAAGCTTTTTAAATGAGAAAATACATTCTAGGGGACAGGAAGAAGAACCATTACCTTTAAGAATATATATTTGTGGTGTACTTTTTCTCTCCTTACTTTAGTTGGGGCTTCCTTCTCCTAGTTTACATATTACAGTATATAGTTTGCAAGTATTCAGATATGATACCATTATACTGCATGATAACTTAAATCAATATGATATCACATTAGAGTAAGAGAAATTAAATAAAATAGGATAGATGGTATGAGTAAACACATTCTGTATACTGAGGTAGCCTGACAACTATTTCCTTTCATGCTTTTTGTCTGACTGTTTCATTACTACTGAAGAATTGTGAGTCAGAGAGCGAAAGTGTGACTGCTTCAGTAACATAGTTGTGACTTGTAAAAATGGGTAAATGGCCTGGCTGTGCTTTCACAAAAAGAAATCAATAAACTTTATAATTTTTCTATGGACAGGGAAAATTGCAAAAAGTTTCAGTATCAGCTCAGCACTAAAAATACTGTGTTTTTCTTCTGATAGTTAATTCCCCTCATCGATATGGTGATTAAAGAGCCAAGGTTACAAAATGGACCTTTGTTTTATGAGGTAGCAGAAGTTTTATATTTTTGGAAAACAAGAGCAGAGATGGCAAGTGGTGACCTAGCAGCTCTCACTTACCAGAGGATGATGCTGAGCTTTTGGGATGGCTTTTCAAGCATCTGTGTGGGATATGTTGATGTCATGGATGCAGATGAGAAATCTTTGGCTGCTATGTCTTCTTTGCTACAAATACTCCAGAATCCAGAAAGCAAGATGAAACCAAACAAGAAAAAAGCTGTGAAGGTCAGATTTGCAGAAGACACTCAGCCTGAAAGTAACACTGAACATGAAAATTATGTTGATTTGAGAAGTAACAATGAACCCAGCATTCCTACTCCTGGAATTCATGAGCAAAATCTTTCCTCTTTACAGAAGGAGCCTTTAGAAGATTTAGTTTGTAAAGTTGCTGAACTGAGTCTTGTGTATGCTAATGAACAGAAGTCTGATAGACACTTAAAGTTCCTTTCTGCGTTACTTAGAAACTTTGCTTCTAGTAGAGTTTTTCATGTACTGTTGCAAGATAGAAGCAGCCTGGAAGCTGGAAAGGTTCAGTATGAAAATCCATCTGTCCAGTTTCTGTATGAGAATGTAATTGATTGGCTGAAGGAAGATGGCAGAAAAGAGACTGACTTCTTGGTGGATATTTTATATAGCGTCCTGTATTGCTGCAGCAGTGCCACGGAGAGAGAAAACATTCTTAATGACCTAACAAAGGTAAAAGAGACTCAAAAATCCATTTCATGTACAATAATATTGTGTTAGTTTGGAAGCCATTATGATGAAGTGACTAAAATAATCCAGGTTTGTGGTAGGCAGTTTGGATGAGGATGAAATATCATCACTGTTTAGGATAGGAATAGATTTTTTACTGGCATATTAACTATAGCTATTACAAACCATTGTTATTCATTTCATATTAGAATGTTTCATTTTTTTTCTACCCCAAAGTATTTTCAAAGTAGTGTACATGAAGCAAAGTTGCTTTTATTGTTGACAGCAATTACTCTATCCTATTGAAGAGCTATATTTCTATATTTTTATACTGTCAGATTTTATATTTCTGTACATACCTAATCTATCAGTGTTATTTATGATGCTGATTGATTTATTTGTTCTAGTTAGTGGTGTTTGATTTGTTTATTCATAATTGTTTGCTTTAATGGTTTTTGTGTCACTGTATATGGCATTGAATGTTTGCCATTTTGTCCCTTTGGAAGCTGCCCTGAGTGCCTCTGGGGAGAACAGGTGTATTACAAATAATAATAATAATTATTATTATTATCATTATATAAAAACAATAAAATTAACAGAGATTAAAACAATATCTACAAAAACACTAGAGCAGCATTATGCATCAGGAGCTTTAACAAAATTGTGCTAGCTGTAATTAGTTCTTAATCATAATTAGTATCGAAAGCCCATTTAAGTAAGGCTAAGTGAGAATTAAAAGATTATATTATTCGGAAAATTTATGCAAGATCCTCCTTGTCACACTATTGAAGCTATTTTTGTTTCAGATGGAGCTAAAGTGGAATATTATTCTTCAGATAATTCAGAAGGTATGTTCAAAGCATTTTTCTTCAAAACTTTTCTGTTTAATGCTTTTTTGATAGCTTTTTTTTGTCGTGTCAGGAGCGACTTGAGAAACTGCAAGTCGCTTCTGGTGTGAGAGGGTTGGTAGCTGAAAAGTAGAAAGTTGTTTCAGAATGCACAGGCTTTCCAGCTTTCTTCTTTTGGTTCCAGTTCCTTGAGGCAACAACCCATATGAAATGTATAAGGAACAACTGGTTTTTCGTTTACCAACAAAAATTCATTCCCAGTTTTCTCTGACTCCCTGCCATGCTTTATAAGTGAGATCAGAAGAACTGGATTGGCCCTGGTGGTCAGATTGCATCCTGGGACAGGGCCTTTATGATATGAGTGAGTGTGTCCATTTTAAAACACCTGCCTTATTATATCATCTAGCCCACTTTCCTGTTCTCTGGAAGAAGAAGTACATGGAGTAAAAGACCCATGTGGAGGAGCTCTTTCTGGTGACGGCTTTGTGTGTTGACATCTTCACTCTCCCCTCACCTTTTTTAGTTTGGTGTGGCGCAGGATAAATGAAACATAGTCAATTGGCTCTTTGAGACACAGGGTATGGTTTCAGCAATCTTAATTTCCCCAGCACCTTCCAAGTTGCCTACAGGCAGGACATACGTGAGTTAGGAATACATTGTTAACTCAATCAGAAACTACTCTAATATATATGTATATGAATATGTTTTCTTGGTGTAGGCATGTTCAAGCTCAGAAAGACATTCCCTAAGTTCTACTTGGCTTAAAGGAGATGTGTTAGGTGAGAAGCTTGTCACTTTGGCTGATGATCTATGCAACACTAGCCTGAAAACGACAGTAGTTTCAATGGAATCCTTTCATTCGGAAAGATGGACTCTACTAAGTTTGGTATTATCTCAACCAATTAAAAATGGTAGGTAACTTTACCTTTCCTGGTGAATAATAAATGCCTACTATAAGTGGGAAATGCAAGATACTGTACATGGAACAATATAATATTTCATGTATCCTTGGTAATATCCTTATAAACAGCTTTCAGAAGTTATGAAATGTAATTCCATAGAAGAATTCTTGATTGCTGCATGTCATTTTGTCTTGGGCTTGTGATTCTATAGTTGTAGAATGTATGTATTGACTTGGGAATAACTTACACTGTTTCTCTTTTCATTCATAGACTCCTTGATTGGTGAAATGTATGTTAAAAGGATTATTGATAAACTACAAACAGCACTGGCTAAAGCGAAGGATCTTTCAGAAGCTGGAAATACAGAACCATCTGTGTCTTTCATCTGTGACATAGCCTCTAACTTTTTCACCTCAGTTAAAGGATGCTTGTTGATGCCATCATCAGAAGACCTGTTGTTCACTATTTTCCAGCTGTGTGCACAAAATCAGGATGCAACACGTTTATCAGGTAGCACTGCATAATAACTAGAGCAATTGCAAAGTCATTCCTTGGAATGCATTTTTTTCAGTTGATAGGTGCAGTTCTTGAAACTTACAAAAGAAAAAAAATTAAGTAAGAATGAATGCGAAAGCAATACTATCAATTTCAAAAACAGTAGGCCTATCAGAATAAGATACCCTGTCGTTTTGTGTAACATTGCAACATACCTCAGAAAAATGTTTAATGGCCAGCATCCCTATATCCCACAGTGTATGGCAGTTCATCTAAGAGATGCATAGTATAACTTTGTTTTTTGAAATTAGAACAACATAAAAGAACTTGCAGATACCAGAATCTATTGTGAAGCTTTCAGATTTAACAGTACAATAAATACTTAGCATTATGTTAAGGGTTTTTTGCTCTGTTTTGCTGTATAGATTTCCTTGTCAACAAGCTGAAGCACACTTGGTTGTGTGGCTTAACTTCACTGGTGCATCAGCTTAGTGATACACATAAAGAGAGCACCTTCCTGCAGAGATCTGCATTTTGGGTCAAGAACCAGCTTCAGTCTTCAGCGTTAGATCTCAAAAGGTAACAATATATCAAACTGTACTCGTGTGTGTTTAATAGAGTTCCATCTTGGTAGTTCAATTCAGGCTCTCACTTGCACCAAACATAGCTGAAAGAAACTAGTGTTTGCATGTGATCTAGAAAGTCTATCCTGGTTTGATATTCTGCCTGCCAACCAAACTACACTTTGATTTCTCGTGCTGCCTGACATAGCCTTCCTCACCTTAGCACCCTCCAGATATTTGGTACTACATCTCCATCAGACGCAATCATGACTAATGATGCTGGGATCTATATTTTAAACACCCAGGCACCACCACATTAGAGAAGAGTAGCCTGCATATAATATAAGTGTCTGGATGAAAACAGAAATTGAGTCTCACAATAGTAGTCGAGGAAGATGTGCTGAGGCTAATTCCTGCAGTACAAAATCATACCTTAGTCTTGTTCTTGGCTGTTTTAAACTATATGCAAATTTTGAAATACACATTGAATAATCAATATGTTTGTGTGTGGAAAATTAGTTTGTGATTTTTGTGTTTTTTTCTTCAAGTTAAATATTAGGTTCTTCTCAGTTTGCAGGTTTTGATTTCTGCAGTCAATGACTTGTTGACTCAGCTATTACAAACTGATGAAGTTTCTGCTTCTGTTCTGAAAGATTATCTTGAATGGCTCACTCCAAGCAAGACTGAATGGGAAAGGATGCGAGACTGCCTGTCTAATGAGGTAATGTAACAAAGACATCGCATGATGTTTTCCTATCCAGATTTGTGTGTTTGGGGAATTCTATATAAATCTGTCTAAGAAGTAAAATCAGTTCAAGATGTAAACACATCTTTGCTGTCAATATAAAGTACACATTTTAATCATTAAAGTTTGCACACCCGCTAGATATTGTAATCAGCTAGTTTTCAGTGATTGATTATTTCATTCCCATTTATCTGGTCTTTGAATGAAATAAGAGTTGCAGCTATGGAAGACTCATTTCTTATATGTAATGTTGACTTTATTAATAAACTCTCCTTACTCAAAAGTTAGAATGCAAAATTTTTCTAGTTTTAAAACCAATACTGGTTTTGAAGAATCGTGGTGTAGGTGTGTGTGTGTGGGCGCATGTGTTTGGTGAATGTATTTTTATATACTTTGTTTTTCAAGTTCAAAATATCATTTCAGTACATATTTATCCACTCAACATAGTTTTTAAGATCTATCAGTTCACTTGGTTCATAAGAATCTCCTAGGACCAGTTCATACTTTATGCATTTGCAAAAATGTGAGTTCTTGTTCTTGATGTAACACAAACAAATAGATAGAGCATACAGTATGAGAAAGCAGAACATTAAGTGTTGCATGGAACACTTTCACATTATAAATGTGTGGGTGTGGGTGTGATATGTGTTAGTTCTTGGGCTAGTTTTGATTGTGCGGTCTTGATGTGATGCTTCTGTTATGTGCAGGATACTGAAATAATGAAAACACTGCAAGAATGGTTTTAACTATTTAACTAACTCCCCCCTCCTTTTTTGTAGTGGATCAGGAAGCCCCTTTTGGAAGGAAGACTGAGCATGAATTGTGAGATAACAGGAACAGATCGAAAGCATTGTGCCATGACTAAACTTCCAAGCCATTTGTGTACAGCAACTCTGTTAAGTAAAACGGTGCAGTTGATATTGGAAAAAGAGGTGGTGTTTGAAAACCCAGAAGTGGAAAGAAATAAATTTGAAAATATCAGTAAGTTCCAGGTTTTTTTTTTTTTTTTTTACAAAACTGTATGACTGCTTCAGAAATCTGGTGGCAAGCAGTAATGGGGCATATAAATAGCTTAACGCAAATCAATAAGAGCTTGATTTTTCAATTACTAAAGGATTTAAGGAAGAGAAGAATTTGCGAAGTTTAAACATTGGTATTCTTCCAGTCCACCTTCATTAATTACTTTTGTGCTTCCTTTTTAACCAATGCAACTACTCTTTATGTTCCTGCTCCACAGCATCTATTAAAAAGTTGCTTAAAAAATAAATAAAAGTAAGCTTCTGGTTTTTGGTTTAAGGTATTGTTTCCATCCCCTTGCTTCATCACTTGGACACTCACAGCAGAATGAGGTGGTTATACAACATACAACATGAGTTAGTACTTGGGCCATATGGTATTCCTCGATCACCATGTAGTGAGCCCACACTGGGAGGCAATCAAAGTAAAAATTTAGTGACACTGCAAAGTGGTGAGGTTATACTTCGGAAAGTTGTAGTAGTAATGTCATTACACTTTCGTTATTGGAAAAAATATTGCAGGTAACTAATTATTCCTAACTAATTATATCCAAGTTCTGGTAAGGCAATTGGGATTACGACTGTGTGGATTTTTTGCGTGGTTTTTGTGTTATGACTCACACTGTGATCTCTTAGTCCATGTTTTGTTAAGGCATATCTCTCAAAATTCACCCTACACACACAAGCCTCCTATTTTTTCTAGGTCAAGGCAGAAAGCAATTTTTCCTATACAGAAATTATTTCTGTCTGAAAATAAATGAGCCATCAATGCTACCACATAAATAAAAACCTTAGGTTTAGTGCTCCTCTTACCATCCCAATGCAGTCCTGAATGTGGAAGTGAGGCACGAATGAGTTTTTTTTTCTGTCTCTCATATTTGCTCCCCAATCTAAAAGATCATTGATATGATATGAAATCATTGCAGGGATGCAAAGCATCACATACAAGCAAGTGCTACATCAATATATAAAAAAATAACTATTATAAAAATAACAACTTGTTGACATTTTCTCTTGTTATATGTACATGTGTGTGTGTTTTGAATTGCACATGTAATAAATGTCATGATGATTTAAAGATTAATGCATATCCTGGATTATGCTAATCAGATATGGTTCTGGCTTTTTCTAGTTGCAGAATATCTGTATGCTTTACAGTGGATTGAAGAACTAGCAAACCCATCTTGCCAACTCCTTGAATTTCTTCACCACCTACAAATAGAGAATATTTCATACGGGAAGTTACATACATTCAGTAATATCACTTGCCTCTTACAGATATTATTTGAAAGGTAAGCGTGCTGGTTTGAATTCCTTCTTAGCTATGGAGACCTACTGGGAAACCTTGGGCAAGTCATTACTGTCTCAGCCCCAGAGGAAAGCAAAGGCAACTCCCTTCTATATAAGTCTTGCCAAGAAAATCCTGTGAAAGGTTTGGCCTAGGGTTGCCTTAAATTTATAATGACTGGAAAGCAACAAACATCAAATATTGTTTCTCAAATAATTGTCTTAGGATTTTGTATGCTTGAGTATCACTTTGGTTATTGTTTATATCTAAGGATTGCCTTATAATTTTTTTCACAATGATAATAATGGTTGAGTGAATTTATTTTGTCTAGAGGTAAACCACATAATTACGTAAAAGCTATCTTATCATTTCATAGATCAAAAGAGAATGGAAGACTTTGGGCTTTGACCATGGCTAAATTGTTAAATACAGAGAGCATTTCGTCCTCTGAGATAAAAGCACTTTTTGTTACAGCAGAAAGGTATGATAATGACCCAGTACTTCTTTTTAGACTGTTATTCCACCTGTTACTTCTACAGTGAAGAAAGCAGGAAATGTGAAGAACAGACTTCATCGTATTGCAGAGACAGATCAAATAAGCCATCTTAAAATTCATTGCTTTCTGTCAAATCTTTTTGTAATTGTTTTGTTTCCTTGTGTCCTGCATTCCTTTTGGTTCCTTTTGTCTTGCATTTTGTTTAACAAATATCTGGTCTGATTGGGTAAATCCTATTCTTTATATAGGATATAGCACCAAAAAAAAAAATGAATACTTTTGCTGTAGACAAGCTATTTATTTTGTATTTGATCATTGATGACCAACATATTCTCCTTGATGTCTTCATTTCATGGACAGGTTTTTTCCATTAACAGAGGGAAACTTACACACACTTCAGAATCTGTCTCCATTTTTATCTGAGGAAGATAACAAAGAGCTTGTTGTTTACTGCACTTCTAAATTAATGGAATGTGACAGAAGTGGACTTCTTAGTATTGATGGTCAGTGTCTTGTATATTACCTTCAGTGCTACCTTAGGTTGTAGGGAGGTAGGATTTTCAGTACCAGACATTTAATAGAAATCGCTGCTTCTATTCTTGAGCCATTGTAATTCAGTCGCGTTGTGTTGTTTAATCTACACAAGTGCATTTTTCTAAGTTGCAGATTTCAAGAGGTATATATCAGTTATATTGCAACTGTGCCTGCTGTATAAATAAGATAAACCTAAATTTCATTTTAAAATGCCCCAATTTTAAAAGGAAGGGAATATTTAACAATTAATATCAGAAATTATTCTTTAAAGTTTCTGTGTGACAATATGCATTTCGACTGCTTCTGGTCTTTTCCTCTTCCTTTTAAGGAAAAAAAGTCCTTCATTTCAACTAGTCCATTTAACTTAGAATCTGCCTCCCAGCATCCCAAAGGGACAGCAGACAAGAAAGGACATTAAACAATTAAAACACAAGACTTAATATTTCCGCAATAATGAAAAAGCTATAGACTTATTATTTATTTACCATATTTATTTATTTACCAGAAGCAGTCGAAATTCATTTACCATCTATGTATAAAGGCAGTTTTACACATAGATGGACAAATTTATATCTACTTCAGGCATTCTTCTACAATTCAATAAACAGATGTGTGTTGTATAGCCCAGTGGTTCTTAATCTTTAGTCCTCCTGGTGGTTTGGACTTCAGCTTCCACAATTCCTAACATCTGGCTGGGATTTTTGGGAGTTGAAGTCCAAAACACTTGAGCACCACTGCAGGGAGTTCATCCTTGATCCAATAGAAACCAGGTTTAGAAATGCAAGGCTTTTTCAGAGTGGAGCAGGAGGAATTTCAGAGTTTTTCTGATCTTTAACCAGTTGCCAAGGTTCACTCCTTGTCACTGTTTTAATCATTTTTTCTTATATAAATAAAAATAACAACATCAATAGCAATAATATTTGGCTTTGTTTTAGGAGCTTTTGCAAATCTTGCTATTATAAATTCTTGTTTGAATTCTGGAAGCATTGGTTATGGAGAACAAATTTCTGAGATACTAAAAACCATCATATCTTGGCGAAATGACTACGAGGACAATTTTCTTTTCAGCTGGTGGGTAATTCTGTTGTATGTTTTAAATATTGATTTTATTAATTTCTTCAAATAGTTATATTTGCAGTAAGACTGTAGGAAAAGAAAGTAATTTTCACTGATCACATGAGTTTTTATAAATGTATTAGCTTGAAAATGTGTAAAGACAGAACAATATTTCTGAAGCAAGAAATATATTTTTAACTTTCTTCCTTCTTTTTCCTTGGATGATGCATACTTTTTTTTAGTATGGTACATGTTACAAGTATTTTGTCTGGAAAAGAAGAAGAAAGTGTTGGGCAAGTGGGCTTATTAACAAAAGACCCTCCTCATAAATGCACAGCAGAGTAACTTAGCAGGAGCGTGACCCAGCACCAGCAGCCCAAAGTGATAAAAAGAACAAAAACACAGAGATCAATGTTATGTTTTTCCATAGGAGGCTTTTCTTTATAGCAAAATAATGTGGTTGCACTATTTACAAAAACAAGGTTTCCATATCACAAATAAAGTTCAACCTTCACACTGGAGCTTCACACACAAGGCCTTTGCATACATGGTCTTCTTATAGACTAAGGCCTGCCTCACAGAGAAGCCTCCCCACACAGGCTGAGGCGTTCTCTCACACAGAGAGGCTTCTCTCAGGCTGAGACGTTACTAAGCAACAGGCACGCCTGCTTATATTGTACTGCAGCTTTGCTGAGTCATTGCATCCATTTAACCCTTTCAGTGCTTGACCCACATTTTTGTAATTAAAAATACCTAATTAATTTTTAATATTTATGACAGAAAGAGCCTAAAGGTGTTCCCAGCCACAATCTTTATGAACACGTGCATTTAAAATGATTGGCATTGAAAGAGTAAGCAAATTTTCAGAGATAATTTTCAGAGCTGGTAGCACAACTGGCTAAACAGCTGCAATAAATCACTGCTGACCGAAAGGTGGCAAGTTCGAAGCCAGTCGGGGTTTTGCTCCTGACTGTTAATAGCTGTTTTAAAAAAATAGCAGTTAAAATAATAATAATAATAAATGCCCAGCTGTCTGTCGACCTAAGCAGTTTGAAAACAGCTGTGAGCTGTGAGTAGAGAGATTAGGGACCACTTAAACGGAGGCTAATTTATGACACCATAAAAATGCCAGAGAGCAAGGAGGAAATACTATGATCAAAATGGCTCAGCATCATAGCGGATGAAGCGAGAGCCCCCTGTGGCCGAATCAAGCAACCTCCAGGATCTGGTGGAAGAACTGCTTGAACGGCCTCTATCTGTTTGTACGTCTTGTATGTCAAAAACGGCATTGAATGTTTGCTGTATATATGTATATTGTGAACCGCCCTGAGTCCCCTTTGGGGTGAGACGGGGAGAATATAAATACTGTAAAATAAATAATACTGAATACTGAAAATACTGAATACTGAAAATAAATAAATAGTGAGGTTAGTGTTCAAAAATTGATTATTCTAACATAACTGGTTATTCTGAGCAATTTAGTTCAATCAGTGTGGCAGCCCTGGTTTACAAGATTTAAGATTTTCAGAGTAGCAGTGTAGACTATCAGAATAAACAAGTCGGGCTCCTCAATAGTGCTGGTTATTTGTATAATGAATAATTTCATAAGTTCATAAGATAAAAGAATGTGTACATATGAACACTTGTTATTGATATTTACATAGTCATTTCTCTTGTACCTTTGTTTTTTACCTGAAGTGATTCCTCTTTTGTTGTTATACAGAAGTTAATATTAAACTATAATTTTCTAATCATTTCTAATTTTCCCCCCAAGCAATCTACAAGAAGGAAAACCACCGTTGCTTGGCTTTAATATTGAGGTGATCCGTTTTATATCTCTGTTGCTGAACAATCCTCCTGCCTTGCTAGAGAGTGAGTGGGATTTTGTCATGTGTTCAATGCTGGCATGCTTAGAGGTAAGTAAGAAATACAAATACATAAAACTATCCACTGGGTGGCAGTTCTTTCTTCTTCAAAATCTGAGATATTTTGCAATGATTTCTGATGTAAGATTAAGATTTTTTATGATTATTCAGGGTTACTAATTACAGTAAATGTTTCACCTTTTTTCTGGTACAATTTTTTTGGAACTGATGTCATATGCTCCACTTAATCTTTCATACCAGTGCTTCCACACTTGAGCATACTTCATTGGCATTTCATTTTACCAGTATATACAGGTCTCTAGCTAACTAATGAGGTGTCTGATTCTGTTCACAACGAATGGTTGGTAGAAATGTAAAACAAGTCATTAAACTCAAATAAGGGTAAAAGAAAAGATTTAGAAAAATGAGATATATTGAGAAAGAGAGAGCGAAAAGTTGTCTTTTGACTACAGGAATCTATTTTTGAAGCATATACTTAAAGAACTTGTTCTGTTTTATTATAAAAGGGTTAATAATTACATTTTTTTTTTAAAAAAAAGAGAACATGTAAGTTTGAAGAGACAGAGTTATTTGTTCTTTGAGTAGGGAATACAGATTAGTCAAATTCTATAACTGGGGGGGGGGAAAGCCAAAGTTTTCCCTGATGTTTTTTCTTCCTCTCTTCAGACAACGAGTGAAAGCCAGGCAGTGTTTCCCCAGGCGCTCGTGCAAGTGTTTGCCTGTGCCAGCTGTGACTTGAGTTTTGCCTTGAGTGCCTATTTTCAGGCAGCGACTCCTGAAATCATCGAAAAACTTCCAACAAACCTCATGACTGAATGGCAGGAATTCTTTTCTGAAGGCATCCATAGTTTACTTTTACCATTGCTGGTTAAAATCACAAGTAAGTCTGTGGAAATTACATTTAGTTAATGTAAATTATTTAGTGAATCAAAATGAACTAACCATGATACTATAAAAATCCATCTACTTCCCTGCTTATTTACTTAATGCAGTATCACACGTGCTGTTCTTGCTTTCACTTGCTCAAGCCTTTCAGGAAGATGATAAAAGATTAAGTTCTGGAAATATGTCACCTGTGAATATTGTCCAAGGTTATTTGCGTGTAATATTTTTAATGCTTTTGCCAAGTGGAAGTAACAATTTAACTTCTGTTTTATGCTTGAAAAATGTGAGTTTTGTATTGAAAGTTAAAAATATGAATGATCTCTCAATAGGAAAGGAAAAAGATACACTGGAAACATCATTTCAGAGCTCCATGTTGAAATCCTTGGGCAAAGCTTTAACGTATATATCAAAGGATCAGTTATTGAACAATAAACTTCCTGCCAAATTTGTGGCTGGACAGAAGACCAACCTCCCTGACAAACTACAAACTTTGTTAAATACACTTTTTCCACTACTGCTGTTTAGATCTAGACCTGTTCAAATCACAGTATACCAGATGTTAAATAAGTAAGTTATCTCACTGTCTACTAGCAGAAATGTTTTGTATCTGTTTTCACTTGTATCTGTAGAATTTGGATTTGGAAAATATCTTATTAGCATAATGAACATTTCTGTTCAGTGTGATGTGCAAATGTGGTGATACATTATCTGCACCATGGATGAGCAACTATGGAATGCCGGAGCACATTAGCACCCCAGGAAACCTTGGTGGGCTGCCCCACTGCACTCGTCCTGGAGAAAACAAAGCAAAAGTCTGCAGGGCCCTTAAGAGGGCCCAAACATGGTGGAAATGTCCTCCACATCCCCAGAGAGCATTTGAGGGCTTTCTCAAATTTTTTTACAGAAAAAATTGACCTCCCCTGGGGAGACACAAAATGGCCCAGGGGACCACATTTTGCCACTCCAGATCTACATGTTATTTGCAATCTTGGCCAAAGCTAATCATTCCTAAGTGCTCAACCTTCCCAACTTCCATTCTAAGTAGAGCTGCTTGATTTTGGTAATTGCTTTGGAAATGTAATAACACAGTCATCAGCTGTTGCTTTTGTCCCATGTTCCGATACCTAGTTTCTGGGCTGAATAAGGTGATGTAAAGGCATCTTCTGGCCAACCTCCTTTTGTAGAGTGTGGGAACCATTGTTTTGGGAGACTTGCTAGATCTCTACAGTTTGCTTCCCTTGAAATGACTTATAGACGTCTTAGCTGCTGTGAGCATATAAAGAAAGTAAAAGAGCAACATTAATATAAATGTTAGTGCTGAAGATGAGAGATGCCAGTGCAAGCTCAAAGGGTAAAGGCCTTGGCCTTCTAGCCATCTGTCCAGCCTGGAAACCTGCTCTGAAGGATTTCAAAGGGTTTAAAGCAGATTTTGAGGGCAGACAGCAAGTTGTGGAATCTTCTCCTGGTTTTATTGACAGAAACAAGTCATGAGCAGAATAATGGGATAGAATCTTACATTATGCTGCTGTTCATATGAAAATCCATATGTTTAGGACTGAGATGGTACCTACTTTCCTTCTGCACTTCTGTAAAGAGGTGATTAAAATACATAATACTGTCTTCAATGTTCAGTAATGAAATCTTAAAAAATATTTTAATTGTTTTCCCCCTTTCTTTCAAATCCTAGGTTGATGTGTGAATTACCTAAATTTGATGATGTGGATCTCAAATCCTATGGAGATGAAGAGGAGGAACTCTTATTGTATGTTTTATTTTCTTTATTTTTGGTTAATGATGTTTAGTTTCAGACACGAAACTAATCTTGCAGTACATTTGAAAATACTATGATTGACATCCTGCGTTGCTGTATGGTACTGTTCCAGATTCAGTTGTGCTCTATATTCATAATTGTGGCATTATTACCATGATTGTAAATGCCCCTAAAACCCACCTTAATGTCCAGGGAGCAATAAAAGTGTGCCTGACAGTTGATTGGGGCACTTCAGGATGATACAACACCTCCTGTTTTTGAGCTCCAGTGCAGCGAGGAAAAGCAGGTCACAGTGCTAGCCAGTAGGCTATAAAGATCATATAACCCCCTGACTGTTGAACTGGTTTCAGACTGGATTCAAAGTGTTGGCCATGTTCTATAACCCCCTAAATGGTTTGGGTCCAAACTATTTTAAAACGGTACCTCCTTATATTGACATGCCAATGTTTTTAGGGGAAAGCTTTCTCTCTGTCCCACATCATCCCTGACATGTTGGTGAGGACATGAGAGAGAGAGTCTTCTTAATGGTTGTTCTCAAGTTATAGAGCTCCCTTTCCTAGGAAATCCTATTTTTCCCTTATTAACTGTCTTTTTGCCAGAAAGTAAATGAGTTTTTAGTGTATGTGGCAAATAAAGCTTTTAATTGAGAAATGTAGTATTATTTATTTATTTGCTTATTAAATTTATGTCACTCCTTTCTCACAAGGAGAATCAACACAGCTTTTAAGGTATATTTAAATGCTATATTTAAATCTAGCTTAATTGTGTTAAAACTTTTATATCAGCAGTTCTTAAATGTTATGGGTCCTTGAATCCTGTGTAGGGAAATAGGTGGAAGCATAAGATCAATCAATTGATAAAGATAGGAGTGGTTATCTGGGTTTAAGAAGGTAGTTCTTTACTGGGGTGTTGTGTTGTTTCTAGCAACATTTTTTCCTGACATTTTGCCTGCATCTGTGGCTGGCATTTTCAGATCTGCATCTGAAGATGCCAACCACAGATGAAGGTGAAATGTCAGAAGAAAATGCTGCCAAAACCATGAAACACCCCAGTGATTCTGGCTGTGAAAGCCTTCGACAGTGCATACATAATTACTGTAATAGATAGTTTGAAGTCAGAGAAGATGGAATTTATTTTATTGGCATGCCTTGCATTTGTTTTAGGTCGCCACCAGCAGCTCTTATGAATGTTCTCACCACTCAGGAAGACTTACTAGAAAACATCCTAGACTGCATCCCAGTTGGAGAGTTTGCAGTTATTCAGCCACTGAGTGAAGAATTTTGCCTTATTTTAGGATATCTCCTCACCTGGAAATTAATGCTCATTTTCTTCAAAGCAGCATCTTCTCAGGTAAAAAAACAAACAAACACAAAACCTCGCTTTTACACAGTATTTTAGTGAGAAACCAGTTCAGTTTGCTTGAAGCGTTCTTTTTGCTAAATATAACTGCAAGAAATAGAAATTCAAGAAATTTATTTTGTAAAATTATGAATAATATTTATGCATACATTACTCTTTGTCCACAACTCTGACTTCAAGCTATCTATTACAGTAATTATGGTTTGAGTTTGGTAAATTGTTTCAAGTACTTGAAATGTCGATCTTCTCTTTAAATAGCTTAACAGTGTGTTAGCATTACTTCACTTGCAAATATGTAGCATAGTTTCGTAGAAGAACATTCTTATCTAATCTAGGAATCTCATTTAAATCCATGGTGGACATTCCTTCAGTTCATTTGCTTCATGGCACAAGTTTTATTTGAATTTATTTCTTACTTTTTTTTCTTGACAACCAGCTGCGGGCTCTCTATTCGCAATACCTTCGAAGAAGCAAGAGTTTGAATAAATTATTATATCACCTGTTCAGGCTTATGCCAGAAAACCCAACCTTACCAGCATCAGCAACTGAACTTCCAAATAAGGATGCAAAAACATACTTTACAGAAGAGCTTGATTTAGACATTAAAGGTTGGTCCAAATATTTTAGCTTTGATGACAGCCATTTCAATCTTTATAAGCATCAGATATATTTTATACTGGAATACCATTTTCAAAATATACTGTTCAACTTAGCTAGTGTTAGAAAAGGACTTTCTTTAGGGCAGTCATAGATTTACAATGTCACATAATCAAGGGATAAAAGTAATTTGAAGTGTGGCACATTTATGGAAGAAAATATGCTTTAAATACTGTTCTTTCTGCACACATTTCATCTCCAGATTCACCAGGACTGTCGTCACAAATCCCACATCTGGCTTGCTCTGTTTACTGTATGACATTGAAAGATTTGCCAGCCATGGTTCGCCTTTGGTGGAATAGCTGTGAGAAACGAGTCTTCAACGTTGTAGATAAATTTACAAGCAAATATGTCAGCAATGTACTTTCATCACAAGAAATATCTTCAGTGCAGACTAGTACGCAATTGTTTAATGGCATGATGGTTTGTATTTTTATCTTACTTTATTTCATGTGGTACATTTCAGTTCTAGGAAGTACACTATGATTGACTATTGAATCTAGGAACTGATAGCAAGCACAGACATATGAAGTCATATTAATAATAATATTATTAATAATAATACTTTATTTATATTCTGCACTACCTCCCAGAAGGGGACTCACAACGGATTACAACATACACAGATAGGCAAACGTTCAATGCCTTTAATTCAGTGGATTAACAATGACATACAAATACATAGAACATAGTTAAAGACTTCCCCTTTCATCTGTGGTTTCTGGAGGCAGTCCTCAACTCTGGCCATGGGGAGGTGCTCTTGTTCCATTTCCAAGCCGAGGAGCCTATTGTCTACAGACACCTCCTGGTCGTGTTGCTGTCATGACTGCATGGGCGCCTTTATTACCTTCCTGCCGAAGCAGTACCCATTGATCTCACATTTGCATATTGAATGTCAAATGCAGAAAAACAGGTTAGGTTAGATTAGTACTCTAAATAAGGGCATTTATCATCTGGAATCAATGTGTTTTTCTATGCACTATTTCTATGATTATGCAATTGAACAGATTTAACATTTGGGAAGACTGTGGGAGCATGACTGCTTCAGGAGTGCACTACTGTTGTGCTAACATAAAAATAACATACATCTAAATTTGATGTATAGAGCTATTCTGTAAAAATGTGTAATATTTGTTCCAGTATTGTCCTGTGCTTAAGACTAGCAGATAATGTCTGCAGTGAACTATTTTAATTCCTGCCTTCTGGTTAATGTTGCACAAGTTAGAGTAGTAAGCAATATTTTTATAGAATGTCAGGTACATTTAGGGATATTTGTTGTTACTACCACTTCTGGACTATTTTAATTTATTCTGGCTAGTATTGATCCAGTTTTATTTGGACTATTGTTTGACTCGCTTGCAATGATGCTACCATAAATTTAGTTTTTGTTTGTGTTTAAAATTTAGTTTCATATGTCTCCTGAAATAACGCCATTTCCTGTTTATTGGTTTTTCACAGGTAAAAGCTCGATCAGCTACTCGAGAAGTCATTGCTACCTACTCAGTTGATGATATATTCATTGAACTGATCATACAGTTGCCTCCTAACTACCCTTTGGGCTCCATCGTCGTTGAGAGTGGAAAGAGAGTTGGGGTAGCAGTTCAGCAGTGGCGCAACTGGATGCTGCAACTCAGCACATACCTCACTCACCAAGTGCGTTTTCTATTTTAAAAAATCTTGTTCCCGAAAACACAATGTATTTTAGTTATTGCCATATAATATTATCTGCAGGTTAGATTAATTGCATTAATTAGATCTGCTGTGGGGAATAAAGGAGAATGGCAGCTATTCTTTTCTTCAAAATTTGGCCAGACTTCCTAAAAGAAGTTACTTTTTTGGATTCAGGCACCAAGAATGTATGGCTGGAACAGCCAGAATAGAGTATTCCGGTGGGTGATTAAGGGCTCTGGACTCTACATTTCCCATTGCATGGCAGCCCTGCTTCCCTTAGTTTTCAGTCTTGATGTACTGCTTGTTATACGAGTCCAGTTAGGGCACCCCTGTGAAAGTGAAAATCTGCGAATAAAGAAATTGCTTATTTTTTTTCTCTAAAAGAATATACGAGTTTCTAGATTTTCCAGAAGAATTGTATGGTTAACTTTTGCTGGAAGCTGACTACAGAATTGCATTTGAGTTCCTAGAGATTCCTCTCTAGAAATCTCCACCATGATTACAGAGAGTTGACCATAGAATCACACAAAATCACCTTGATATTCCTAGGGGAATTTAAAAAAAATCAAATTTGTGAATCATTAAATACACAAAGTCAAAACCATAAATGTGGAGGGTTAACTGTAGCACTTGCTGCTCAACCCAGTTGGAAACTGATGGGGCATTGGGCTTTAATGGCAGAATTGGTGTGTGTCCCCATGTTCTCACATTAGCCCAGTGCATATTCAGAGCTAGTGTGATTCTGCATACCTTAAAATATTTTAAAGCTGTAGTATAACTGACAAAATATGTGTACATATCATGAACCAGTGTGAATGGACTACAGAATGATACATCATTTTTGAACCAATATATTTTGAATATTTTCTTTCTTTCTGTTTTAGAATGGAAGTATCATGGAAGGTTTAGCATTATGGAAAAACAATGTGGATAAACGTTTTGAGGGAGTTGAAGATTGCATGATTTGTTTCTCGGTCATCCATGGCTCTAACTATTCTCTCCCTAAAACAGCTTGCAGAACGTGCAAGAAAAAGTTCCATTCAGCTTGTCTGGTAAGTACCTAGAGTAGGAAGACCTTGAACCAAGTTTCAAATGAAAAGAAATGTAATACTCCAACGGCTTTGGTGGTGCCAGAAATAGTTCAAAGTAATTGCTCAAGTTGCTCACTTTAGCAACATTGAAATGGCCCTTATTTATCACTAGAAAAACAATTTCCTTCCATACTTATCCACACTTCAAATATAAATAAAGTTTTATTTTTACTTTTAATAAATGCTCAGCAAATTCATTCACATTATAAAAAGCTGTGAGTAATATAAGTTCTTTTAAAACATTCCTTAAGAATGCTTTCTGGATGTGTTGGCATGAATACCACCATATCCAGCTAACATGGACATAGAAAATCTAGGCCATTGAATCCCTACAATGAAGACCATATTTGTCAGCTAATGTCTTTATAAACAAGTTGTTTTAATTTGAAAAGTTCACTAGATTATTTTTTGCATTATTTGATCAAGCCAAATTAACTCTGCTAAATTTCTGCCAAACAAAACTGATTAATGCCTGTTTTTTTTCGTTCTAGTACAAATGGTTTACATCTAGTAACAAGTCCACATGTCCACTCTGCCGAGAGACCTTCTTCTGACGTATTATCTTCTCTGTTTTAGAGAGCAGACAATAATCACAGCAGGATTTAGCGGTGAAAGAAGCTAATTTAGGTTTAGCTGTATTTACAAATAAAATTTTAAGTTGATTGATAAGTCTGATTTAAAATATTGTATATGTCAATTCTTATATCAAGATTACTTATTTATTAAAACAGAGTATTCTGATATTTCTGGTGAAAATTGATGGGTTTGTAAAAAGTGTGCACAGTGTGCACTACTGCAGCAGTAAAGGATTTTACAGCCACCTGGAGCTGGTGTTTTCAGAGCAGGAAGCAGGCCAATTGCCCTTTTCTGATTCCATTTGTAGAAGTAAACATGGCTTGGCCAAGCAACATTGTGTACGGCTACACATAACCTCCCCTGAGTTCGGTGGAACTTAATCCCATCTTAAATTGTACATTTGATTTGATCTGATGTGTCCAGCAGTATGCATTATTCAAATAAAATATTAAGAACTTGATAGGTTATGATGAAAAAAATGTGATTTAAATAAATATTTAATGCAAAAAAGGAATATAAAGAGCTTTCTTAAAATACACGATGGAGTAGACTTGAGTTGGATTTACAGTCATTTAATACAGCTCAGTGCAGTTCAAACTGCATTATATGAATGTACACTGACTATATAACTTTATTATATGACTTTAGATCCAGCTACAATTGATAATGAACTGGATTTTATATAAATTTAATACTGATTCTAGTTGAGCTGTTTATTTCATTTTAAGATAGGACATCCTAGTTCCAATTTTTTTAAAAAAAACATGTCCTTGCATTTTTGTAAAAATTCAGCATTTAATAATAACTTTATTTGCAAACACAGGATCTTTCTTTGGTGTCCACTGGCCTGGTCTGTCTGCATTCCCACTTGGATTCTGCTAGCATAGCTTTAGTGGCACTGATCCTGGCTTCATTTAATTTTTAAAAGCAATAAACTAAACCTGTATTTCAATTTAGGACCACAGTAGGTTATTAGGAAATAATTCCTTCCATTCTGAACTATACGAATTCTGTTATACAAACATCTTGCACATATTAGAACATACATAAGCCTGTCACTTTAATTCCCTGTCAGTTTAAAATGGTTAGGTTTAACTAACCTGCATTCTAATTGGCAATCGTCTGTGTGTTCCATTCCAGTCATCAGTGTTACAAACCCATCCTACTCATTCAGGCAGTACCAGGCAGTAACCTCGATCAGGGCATAAGAGTAGCAAATACTACCATATCTCAAGTATAGTCTGTCTTCCGCAGGTGGAGTAGAAAAGATGGAAAGCTTGAGAATAAATTCCATGGTGGGAGTGGAGCATGTGTATCTAGGAGAGGGCAAAATTAGCAGTGTCTTGTGCACCCTGTGCAGTTTTTCATCTATCACCCAGATGACAACAGCAAGATTCTGCATGTGTTGTAATAGGCTACAAAACTTGCAGCAAGTATCTTCTGAGAATCATCCTCCTTCCCTCTGGATACTGCACCAAATGCCCTTTCGCTTTGCAAGACAGTAAGCAGCAGAACTCGTCTTCAGGATCTCCAGAATTTGAGTATTGAAAGGTTTTCTCTTCCTGCTTGTCTGCAAAGTACTTTGGTGCCTTTTAAGCCACGCCTCTCCAATATTTTAATAATTTCATCTGCAATTAAAAATGAAAAGCTATAGTAACGTTGAAGACAGCAGCAGGCTGAAGTCTTTTTTTGCCGAAGTATTTATTTCTGTCCCATTCTAAACTGTCTGCTTTTTTAGCAAATAGGAATACTGAAACACTGACGTGATGATCGTCATTGACAGGCAAGCTGCTATAAAAGGGAACAGAACACTTTCTCATTTAAAATTTTAATTATTCTGCTTATAAGAGCCAGCATACTTGAACATAAATAATACACATGTGGGGTGGGGAGATCATTAACATAAACTTGTCTGCATTATTCACTTTTCGTCAACTGGTAGTCCCTGTGTTTCATTTATAAGATAAGAGACTAATGATATAGTGGTTCCTGAGAGAGGTGGTGTCATTTAAGGCTCTAATACTGTTTGGTGCTCACAGAGGGTCCATCCATACTACAGAATGAATGTGGTTGTACACTACTGTAGCTGCAATGCTATGAAATTATGGGAATCACTAAACCACAACTTCCATCATTACATAGCATTTAGCTGTGGCAGTTAAAGTGATGTCAAAGTATTCATTCCACAGTGTAGATGCACTCAGAATGGAATGAAGAGAGTGAAAGAGAACAAAATACACTCTAGCATCTCATCTCCCCTCTACAGGCTTGTACTACATTACAAAGCATAAGATATTTCATGCTATAACCAACCGCAAATTAAACCAGAGTTCTTTTCTGTTTCTGGAGTAAAAAAGGCAAACTGTTTAACTTACTGGGTTTCTGTGAGTTTTCCTGGCTGTATGGCCATGTTCCAGAATGCTTCTGGAACTTGGCCATACAGCTCGGAAATCTCACAGCAACCCAGTGACTCCGGCCATGAAAGCCTTCAACAACATGTTTAGCTTATCTTCCAGAAACGTTTTAAAATGGGAAGAAGGGACTATTTTAATCGCGTAACATACACCCCTCTGGCCCAGAGCATATCTAAATTACAGTAAATAAAATGGTAATTTGAGATAGTTTGCAATGAAAGTCTATGTAACCCAAATATTCTGCATTTTTTATTTTTTAAATTAAAGTCATTACCTCGACATCATAAGAAACTATTTCTTCTAAACACAGTTTTTTTCAATAGCATTTCCAAGTCTTGGTAAATGCACAAAAGGCCATCTACAATCTTTGCAAGGGCTTTCGATGTTTGCCTTAATATCAGCAGCTAAATGCCTTATATCTTTTACAGGATACCATAGTTCACTGTACATACAAGAGTGACAATCCAATTCGGCAAGAAGCTATCTCTAAAATAATTTATTTGAACTAATTTCATTTGGAAGGCTTCCTTTAAAAGCTAATATTTAGCACTGTAAATGGTGACTTGTTTTGAGGAATTTTTCAAAGAGGTTAAAAGATATCCATATATTTAAGAGAAAAAAGAAAAAGAAAAGAAACTTTCTTTCCCCTACCTGGATTATTTTCTTGGATTGTAACTAGGTAAAACAATCCTCTTGCGGAAAGTATGGTGGGCACCAGTGGGATAAGTCTGTTCATAACTTCTCTACCATTTTTACCTCCAGCCCAGGCTGCCTCTATTCCATGGTTTTGTATCTAAAATTAAAAGTTGCAGTTTGACCACACAGTATTTTAGAACTATGATTTCTTCAGCAATTTGATTTACACCAGATTTAAGCAGTCAAGCTTCACTTCAACATTTTCAGACCACTAACACACTGCAAGTGATAACCTGCTTATCACAACATACAGTAGATTGATAAATGATTTCCCAAATGCATTTGCGTGCAATTCTTACCTCAGCAGATGGTGTTACCACATAGGGTGGATTAAACAGCAGTAGGTCAACTTTCCCATGTAATCGTGGCAACAATCCTACTGTCTAGACATAGAGTGAAATAAAATACTATGAAAATATCCAAGTAAAACATCCATATGTTATACATCCAGTTTCAATTTGAGTCAAAAAGATGTCACAGGAAAAATGTAAAGATATATAACATCATTTGCTTGAGTACATGATTTCCATTCCTATGAAAAATTATTTAAAAATTAAAAATCTAAAGTATCATGTGACATTTATAGTTTAACAAATGCACAAAAAGGCCAGAAATAGAGATGCAGTGGGCACAACGTTTTCAATAAATTTGCCAAAATGCAAGATAAAGCCATCCCTCCACATTTACAGTTTTGCTGTGACTACCAACCTTAATTATGTAATGTGGTTATTTGAACCCACCACCATAAAAAACTGACGTAATTAGGATTTTTATAATTTGAGTCTCACCAGGTCAGTAATGATGGGTTGAATATTAACATTATTACAGAGAGCTGTCTCCAGTGTGCACAGAGCTGCCAAAGGATTGATATCAGTGCACCTGTAAGAGATAAGTGAATGGAATATAAATAAATAAATACAGTAATAACAATAAAGTGTATATTCCCTGCAATAATGACAGTATTAAAACTGTCATAAGATACATACACCTGCAATTTGAATTTCCTAGCAAGGAACAGTATTTCTCTTCTATGAAACTACAGAGTTATCATGCTCACTTTCTGCAGAATTCAAATACTTTTAGTAGGAATTTTGTAACAAGTGTTCCCCTTTTTTTGGTATACATTTTTATTGTGGTATATAAGAAGAAACGACGACAACAGCAATCTTTGGTATTCAACACTCAAAAAATACCCGTGAACCACCAACCATGACTTCCGACACCACACCAAATGGAACTAGTATCTAACAAAAATCTGTCCTTATCATTACACGAATTAATCCCATATTTGGCTATTTCAATATCTATTTTTGTCTTCTTTTTTAGATACCCAAAGGCCAGTCTCCATTTTTTCCATTTGCATTCCTCTCTGTTTCGTCCCCTTATGCTATTGGAGATCTTGCCCATCTGGATATGCTCTACTGCATTTCTTCTCCAATCCTTAATAAGTAGTTCTTTTTCCCCCTTCCAAGATTTTGCTATAATGATTTTCGCTGCCACATAACTATATTGGCATATATCTACATCGTCTTTGACAATTCTCTCCTGAAACAAACCCAATAAGCACATTTCTGGGTTTTTCTTAATCTTCTTAGTAATCATTTTATTGGTTTCTTTAGTCACCTTTATCGAAAAGTTTTTTTTAGAACCATACAGGTCCACCAAACACAGAAAATGTGCCTTTCTGTGTTTTCCATCTCCAACATTCCCTGTTGGATTTTATCAACCTTATCCATTAATTCAGGAGTTATATAACCTATAGAAGTTATATAACTATATCACATTTTATATGCTTTCTCTGATAGAACCCACTATTGAAAATTTAAATCCTTTTTTCTGTAAGTATTCCCATTTATCCAAATCTATATTTTCCCCAAATCTCTGGACCAGAAAATCATTACCTTTTTATTTGATTGTCTTCCAGATTGTACTCTAGAATATATTTGTAAAATCTGGAAATCAGTCCTTTGTTTTCTTTCCCCAAAGTATTTTCCAACTCCGATTTCTTTTTAGAAAATCCAATTTTATTGTCTTTCCCGAATATATCCTGCAATTGATGGTTATCCTTAACTCTTCTCTCACTTTTAGTTTCCATTGTCCTTTTTCTTCAATTAGATATTCCCTAAAATTTCTCAGTTCCTCACTGTATGTTGTTTTTAACACTGCACAGCCATAAAATAATATTCTACTCCATCTCTTCCTTGTATCTTTTCCACATCGCTAGAAGGCTAGCTCTTATGAGATGCCTATTAAAAACCTTTATTAACCTTCTCCTTTCCATACATAGATGGGCATACCAACCAAATCTTAGATTGTACCCCTCTAGACTGAGTAAAGCTCAATTTTCTAATTTGATTCAGTCCTTTAGCCAACTAAAGCCTGTAGCTTCATAATAGTATCTAAGATCTGGAAGCACCAATCCTCCTCTATCTTTTGCACCTACTGGATTTCGATATGCCATTCGAGCCTTTATTGCATTCCATATAAATTTAACTAATTCCTTGCTTGATTATGTGATTTTAACATTTATATGAATATGTTTTTAACTCCACATTTTAATTGTCTAAATGTTGTTACTTTTTATGATCTAATTGATAGTTATATATTATGGTTGCTCTATGTTAGGATTTATATGTATGTGAGGCATTAAATTTTGCCATAAATATGTTGGAATACGCTTTGAGCACCACCCCCACCCCCACCCCGCTCCCGGGTGAAAAAAGTGGTATACAGTGTTCCCTCACTTATCGCAGGGGTTCCGTTCCAGGACCACCCGCAATAAGTGAAAATCCACGAAGTAGGGACACCATATTAATTTTATTATTTATACATTATTTAATATATTTAATATATTATTTTCTTACCCGCGTTTTCTTACCTGCCTCCTGGCCCATCCCAAGGGTGCCTCCCTCCCTTCCTGACCTCCGGAGCCACGTAGGCAGCAACAGGCCAGGAAGGCAGGCCTTCCTTACTGTGCCTCAGGCTGCCGCACTTCCAGGGTCCCTGGCCTCCACTGGACGTAAATAATTAATATTTTATATTAATATTTTGTAAAACTCGTGAAACTGTGAGTCTGCTAAAAGCGAACCGCGAAATTGCGAGGGAACACTGTACAAATAAAGAAAATTAATTAATTAATTCTCATTTTTTCAAAAATCTTCTCTCTTATTTGCAAATTTTGAAATAGAAACAGCATTTTCGGTAAAATCATCATTTTAGCTCACCTCTACCTTCCTGGTGTTAATAAACTCATTAGAAAACTTTGTTCATGTATCTTTATTTTGAATTGTATGAACACAAAAGTTCCCAAGTGTACCTTTGACATTCATACATACATACAGGTAAGGAATCATGGGAATTGTAGTTTTACAAGGCCTCTAGCCTTCTCTGCCAGAAGCTGCTGGTGCCTCACCAAACTATAAACCGCAGGATCCTATAGCACTGAGCCATGGCAGTTGAAGTGGTATTAACCACATTAATTCTGCAGTATACCCAGTGATGATGTGGCAAGCTGGAATGGCAGTAGTGTGATTCTTCAAATTCTGTTATACTGCAAATTCTCCACATGTACAATGATGGCTAGGGCTGCTTGATGTTGTAGCCTAATGCCTGGAGCGTTTTATCATTCTGTCCTGTGGTTTCAGCAGTCAAATGAAAAAGCACCCTTCTTTCAGTAACTGTGCAACATTACACACATGTACTAGATCATACTTACAAGTACAATGCTTTGGATCCAATAACCGAAGCCACAAATGTTGACACAACTCCAGATCCACATCCTACTTCAAGGCAGATGCTAATGCTAAATGTTTGGTATTAAAAACAAGGGTGGGAATTGATTAAAATGAATTAAGGATGTTACATACAGATCAGACGAGGTTCTTAAGGGTTCTAAATCAGAACTGACTTAAAATAAACTAACATGCCTTTCCCCCTTAACTTAATATTGAATTTTCTGCAGAAAAAAAGAGATTTGACTGTACAATATAAGCTGTACTTTGAGAGAGTCATTGCCACCCTTAGGAACCTTGTATTTTAGATCATGCAACTATACAAGCCCAATTTTAAAAGAGGTTAATTTCACTCTTCAAAGCAGACATGGGCAAACTTGGGCCCTCCAAGTGTTTTGAACTTCAACTCCCACCATTCCTAACCGCTTCAGGCCCCTTCCTTTTTCCCCTCAGCCGCTTAAGCAACTGAGAGGGAAAAGGAAAAGGCCTGAGGTTGGGTTGCTCTAAGTTTCTCGGGCTATATGGCCATGTTCCAGAAGCATTCTCTCCTGACGTTCTGCCTGCATCTATGGCAGGCACCCTCAGAGGTTGTGAGGTCTGTTGGAAAGTAGGAAAATAGGTTTATATATCTGTGAAATGTCCAGGGTGGGAGAAAGAATTTTTGTTTGTTGGCGGTAGGTGTGAATGTTTCAATTAGCATTTAATGGCCTATCAGTTTCAAGGTGTCACTTCTTCCTGTCTGCAGGAATCCTTTGTTGGGAGGTGATTAGCTGTCCCTGATTGTTTCTTGTCTGGAGTTCCCCTATTCTTATTTACTGGTATGATTTTAGAGTTTTTAAATACTGCCAGCCAGATTTTGGAGATTTTCTAGATTTCTTCCATTCTGTTGAAATGGTCCACATGCTTGTGGATTTCAGTGGCTTCTCTATGTAGCCTGACATGGTGGTTGTTGGTGTGGTCCAGCATTTCTGTGTTCTCAAATAATATGCTCTGCCCAGGTTGGTTCATCAGGTGCCTGAGGCTGTTAGGAATGGTGGGAGTTGAAGTCCAAAACACATGGAATGCCCAAGTTTGTCCAGGCCTGCTCTATGCAGTGAAAAGCCACTTATCTGGAACAAAATGCTACTGGACACCCTTATCCAACCATCCACGGCTTGAAAATAGTAAAAACAGAAACAAGCCCAACCCACCAATCAGCCGCCCCTTGCCTTCTCTTCCCTCTTCCTATTGGCTCCCTCAAGCCACGCCCCCATCGACTGTCTCACCCGCCGCTCTGCAGCTCCGCCGCGTCCCCCTCGAGGGCGTCCAGGAGCAGGAAGGTGTCCTCGGCGGGCTCGTAGACCTCGCTGAAGGGCCCCTCCGGCCCCAAGTGCGGGTGCCGCGGCGTGGGGATCATCCTCGGCTTGGCTCTCAATGTGGCGGCGCTGCGGATGCCTTCCTTTTCTATCTCTATGGCGGGTCAGCGTGGCGGAGGCGAAGGGAGAAGAGGGAAGGTCCGCCTCACTGCGCCTGCGCATTCCACGGACACTTTGGCCAGGCTGGCGAGTTAAGCCACGCCCCCTACCTTTCGTGGCTTCCTGATTGGGCGCTCAATTGAGACGCTAGGCTTTCAATCCGGAAGTCATTGTGAAAGAATGAGCTTTGCTCGCAGAGATAGGCGGGTAGAGGTGATGGTGAGCGTCATTGCGGGACTGTTTGGGACTTCTTCGTTGGAACATGAAGTGCAACAATTCACTAGAAAGGAGAATTGTAGCCATAGTTTCCCAATTTAGTAATCCGTTTAGGTACTGTGTTCCAATAACTGAAGCCACAAAAGGTTTCAGGACTCCAGATCTACATCCATATGATGTATCGGCCCAGAAGGCTGTTAACTGCAATAATATGTCAATAATGTATTTAAGTGGGTTGTTGTAGGTTTTTTCGAGCTATATGGCCATGTTCTAGAGGCATTCTCTCCTGACGTTTCGCCTGCATCTATGGCAAGCATCCTCAGAGGTAGTGAGGTCTGTTGGAATTAGGAAAATGGGTTTATATATCCGTGGAAAGACCAGGGTGGGGCAAAGGACTCTTGTCTGCTGGAGCTTGGTATGAATGTTTCATCTGACCACCTTGATTAGCATTTGATAGCCTGGAAGCACCTGGAGCAATATTTTGTTGAGAGGTGATTAGATGTCCCTAGATGAACAAAATCTGGCTAGCAGTATTAAAAAACTCTAAAATTCAAACAGTAAAACAGCAGAGGGAAAACAATCAGGGACATCTAATCACCTCTCAACAAAAGATTGCTCCAGGCAATGCTAATCAAGGTGGTCGGTTGAAACATTCACACCTAGCTCCAGCAGACAAGAGTCCTTTGCCCTACCCTGGTCTTTCCACAGATATATAAACCCTTTTTCCTAGTTCCAACAGATCTCACTACCTCTGAGGATGCTTGCCATAGAAGCAGGCAAAACGTCAGGAGAGAATGCCTCTAGAACATGGCCATATAGCCCAAAATAACCTACAACAACTCAGTGATTCCAGCCATGAAAGCCTTCAACAATACAATGTATTTAAGAACCCAAGTAGATACTTCTTTAATACTTGGAAGACCATATCAGAAATTATCTCAATCTAATATAGACGGGGGCTCCATCTTCTACACACTCATATAATGTAGTTTGGCGCTGCTTATATAGTCAGTCAGACCTCACCTTCTGAGGATTCCTGCCGTAGATGCAGGCGAAATGTCAGGAGAGAATGCATCTGGAACTTGGCCATACAGGCCGGAAAACTCACAACAACCCAGTCAGCGTAAACTTATATAATGCAATTAAACTGCATTGCATAGATTCACAGAGTTGGGGGAGACCTTGTCGGCCATCTGACCCAAACCCCTGCCAAGAAACAGGAAAACCACATCCAAAGCACCCCTGACAGGTGGCCATCTAGCCTCTGTTTAAAAGCCTCCAAAGAGGGAGCCTCCACCACACTCCAGGACAGAGAGTTTCACTGCTGAACAGCTCTCCCAGTCAGGAAGTTCTTCCAAATGTTCAGGTGAAATCTCCTTTCCTGTAGTTTGAACCCATTGTTCCAGGTCCTAATCTCCAGGGCAACAGAAAACAAGCTTGCTCCCTCCTCCCAATGACTTTCTCCCACATATTTATACATGGCCATCACGTTTCCTCCTCTCAGCCTTCTCTTCTGAAGGCTAAACATGCCAAGTTCTTTAAGCTGCTCCTCATAGGGCTTGTTCTCCAGAGCCTTGATCATTTTAGTTGCCCTCCTCTGGACACATTCCAGCTTGTGAACATCTCCCTTAAATTGTGGTGTTCGGAATTGGACAGTGTGATTCCAGGTATGGTCCGACCAAGGCAGAACAGAGGGGTAGCATGATTTCCCGGAATCTAGACCAGTGGTTCTCAACCTTCCTAATGCCGAGACCCCTTAATACAGTTCCTCATGTTGTGGTGACCCCCAACCATAAATTATTTTCGTAGCTAATTCATAACTAATTTTGCTACTGTTATGAATCATAATGTTAATTTCTGTTATGCAGGATGTATTTTCATTCACTGCACCAAATTTGGCAAAAATCCCCGTTACACCTAAATTTGAATACTGGTGGGGTTGGGGGGAATTGATTTTGTCATTTGGGAGTTGTAGTTGCTGGAATTTATAGTTCGCCTACAATCAAAGAGAATTCTAAACTCTGCCAACAATGGAATTGAACCAACCTTGGAACACAGAATTCCCATGACCAACAGAAAATACTGTGTTTTTTGATGGACTTTGGCGACCCCTTTGACACCCCCGCATGACTCCCTCGGGGGTCATGACCCCCAGGTTGAGAAACACTGATCTAGACACTATACTCCTATTTATGCAGCCAAAATCCTATTGGCTTTTAAGCTGCCACATTGCATTGTTGGCTCATGTTTAACTTGTTGTCCACGAGGACTCCCAAGATCTTTATCACACTTACTGCTCTCCAGCCAGGTGTCCCCCATTCTGCATGTTTGTTAGTTTTGACCTGGAGGGCCACATAAAATGGCATGGTGAGCCAAATTTGGGTTGCAGGCCTTGGATTTGACACATGCAATCTATCATATTCTTCAGCAAGAGATCTTTCACTTCCATAGGGTTTGCTATTATATGCAGATTCGTGTATTCACACAAAAACTGGGAATATATATTCAATGGATATGGGGGGGGGGGCACACAGAACTTTACTAATTCTAATGACAACCATCTAAAACTGTAACCACATACTTCCAATTTCCATCTCTCCCTCTGCTGTAGCCTGATGGAAAGCATGGCTGCTGTCTAGTAACAACTGATAGAGAGAGGAATGTGATGGAATTTATTTCTAATTTGAGCTAACAATCTGATCCTGCTTCCCATCTCCCCTCTCGTAGTTTGATGGAATATCTCTTGATAGTGCTTTACAGTTAATATTAATAGTTACAACCCAGTATTTATGCAACCTTCAAAATACCAGTATGTCTTCAGAATGTGCACATTATTCATTGGAACCTCATAGCAACTGTTGCTGCTGTGCTGCGTACTTTTATGGGCCAATACTGTGTTGTTGCCAAAGCCAAAAATCATGTCCAATCCTTCAGCTTGCATTTGGGTGGCCAGGAAAAATTAGCTTCAACCAAGGTCCATGAGTGCTGGTTTAAAATTAACCCAGGCCTTTGCAGCGGAACATTGGAAAGCTGTACTGGCTGACAACAGGATCAGATTTGTGAAGTTTTATTGGCTCATGGTTTTTCTGGAGGTGAATCACAATTATTCAAAAAAATATATATCATATTAGATCTAATAGAATATAACAAGAGATCAAGAAGCAAAATACATTTATCTCTTAAGAAGATGGAATGAAGAAATTTTGGTTTTTGGATAGGTAGTGCTAGTGTTCAGAAAAAGTGAGGTGAGGTGTTAGCATATACTTAGTTTCTTTTACATTGGATTTCTTGGAAATTAGAATAATTGCAAACCCATTCTGAACAAATCTTGCCAAGCAAATCCTGTGATAGGTTCACCATAGGGCTGCCATAAGTCAGAAACAACTTCAACTCACACAACAACAGCAAAAACAACACTTACTTCATTGCAAAACATATCCTACGCAAAACATATGTTACGTTTAATCATTCCGAAGGATGTTTTCTCTATATGTAGTGAACTTTTGGACTTTTTTGCAAGAATTGAAGAAATCATCTTTCACATTAGCAAATGTTAGTCTTGGCCACTTTAATGATCAAGAGAAATTATATATATGTAAAAAGGCCTCTAAACCTTGCTTGGTAAAATTTTGTCAACATTTATTTTTGATCCTTATATAACTAAACGTGACAGGGCGTTGTTGCCAGAAGAACATTTATTTCATTTTCTAGAAATCGCTGGCAAGTTAACTATGTTTTTGTTTTGGCGATACGTCTTTCATGTTAGCAAACTATTTTTGATGGATATTGTAACTTGTGAATACTGCTGAACTGCTTTCTGGTGTTGGAGGACATCAGTTCGCTGAGACATATGCAACAACCCAGGCATTTGTAATATTTTTCCACAGAAAATGTTTCATTATAACAGGACCTCATGAAAATGGAGAGGCACATGATGCACATTATTAAATATGCTATTTATAGGAACAGGGTAAACAGATAGTCCCCTATTACTCTGACCTGGTTATCTGGCAATTCTTCTCCCAACAGATGTGGTGACTCGGATTGAAGCTGGATAGTTGGTATTTCTAAGAACTAGAATGCAATGCTAGCTATTGCATTGTAGGGCATTAAAATTGCTGTCCCCAGGTACTATTTTGACTTCTATTCAGATAACTCAGTGTCTGTTAGTTGTTCATGAAATCCTGTTAGTTGTTTGTGAAAAGGGAGAGCCTGAGGGTGTTTCCACACAGCGCCCAAAATATGGGCCCTCTCGTATTTTTACCTGAGGCATCCAAATGACAATTTAGGTAAACGTGAATTAATTCAGGACAAAGCAGGAAACCTAGCTTTATTCTAAATTAATTAAGTACTGGATTAATTAAGTTCCTGAAAGACCCCGGTTTAATCCAGTATGGACCCTGTCTGTACTGACTCCTCAGTAGTCCTGGGACTACTGAGAAGGCAGTCCGTACAGTCCTTGTGGGTTTTCTGGGCTGAATCAGCTTAGAAAACACTGAGGGCACCAATTGGAGACCTACTGCCAAAGGTCTCCTGGCACGTCATTTCTACACACCGGGAGAGGGCTGGCAGCAGGGAAGTGGCATCCAGGTAAGTTATTTTCTCTTTTTTGGAAGTTTTAAAGGTTTTTTTTTTAAAGGATTTGGGTGTTTCCCTCTCCTCCTGGAAGGTTCCGGGAGGGCATCTAGACACCTCTCACCAAAAGCGAGCATTTCAAGCCGGTTTAGGGATAGAAGTCTGCCTCGACCCAGATTTTTTGGAGCAGACTTATCCCCTGCGTAGAACCGGCCTGAGGGGGGATGAAACTGGCAAGTTCAGTTGTGAAGGCTTATGGGTTACGGCATTCAACCGGCTATAGCAGAT